GGTCTCAAAAATAAAATAAAATAAAATAAAAAAAGTAACCAAGTGCCAGAGAGTAAAGTAAAACTAGTATTGGACTCTGAAAGTGGATGTGGAATGGGTACACAATGCTATAAAAGAACTCAAGTGCCTTTAGTGAAAAACAAACTCACCAAGAAAAATTTCAGTAGTGCTCAAAGAGCTCAGAGGAGAATTAGTACAAAAAATATAGACTTAGAAGAATTGATGCTGCAAGGTCCTAACTCCATAAAAGCTATGAATTATTATGAATCTAAACCCACAAGAATTATGTTTCCCCCCCCCTCTCTTGTTTTTTGTTTGTTTGTTTTTTGAGACAGGTATTTTTCCACGTAGCCCTGGCTGTCCTGGAACTCACTCTGTAGCTCAGACTGGTCTCAAACTCACAGAGACCTGCCTGCCTCTGCCTCCCAAGTACTGGGATTAAAGGTTAAAGTACACACCATACCACCACCGCCAACTAGAACTTATGTTTCTTTTCTTTTTCTTTTTTTTTTTTGTTTTTTGTTTGTTTGTTTGGTTTTCGAGACAGGGTTTCTCCGTGTAGCTTTGCGCCTTTCCTGGAACTCACTTGGTAGCCCAGGCTGGCCTCGAACTCACAGAGATCCGCCTGGCTCTGCCTCCCGAGTGCTGGGATTAAAGGCATGCGCCACCACCGCCCGGGTTTTCTTTTTTTTTTTTTTGAACTCCATTTTTATTTATTTTTTGTGTCTTTCACAGACTTAGGTTTCTTAAATTAGAATCTTAACACCAGTGACCTCACCTAGCACATGTAAGGGCATGAGGTCAGCAATGGGTTTGTAATACAGGAAAACAAAACAAAATCCCAAAATTTGAATACCAGAAAGAATTTAAATGAATTTTGGAAGAGAAAAAAGACAATAAACCCTCAATGAGCTGGGCATGGTGACATATACCTGTCATTCTGGTACTTGAGAGGTGGAATGGGAGGATCAAGGCCAGTCTGGGCTACATGAGACTGTCTCAATTACTAAGTAAATAAATAATACAATAGATAATAAAATAGAGTAGAATAACTTTTAAGTCTTCTAGAAATTATAATATTCAGAGGCTGAAATGTCAGAATTTAGGGCTGAAAAAAATTCTGTTGCTCAAGTAGAAAAATCTCCAAAGAGACTAAGCTTGGTGGCACATGTCTAGAATCAGGAGATGGAGAAAGGAGCACCAGATCCAGGCCATCCTTGGCTACAAAGCAAGTTCTAGATCAGACTGGGCTACATACAAATACTCCATCTCTAAAAGAACAACCCACAATATCCTTCAAAGACTGTGAGTGTAACGAGTTTGTTCTCTAATGACTGAAAATGGTCAGCTAAATTATAGGCTAACTGCTTGGGGCAAAAAGCTACAAAGCAGTCTTGGAATGTAGCTCGGTGGTAAAGCATTTGTATAGCCTGTGGAAAGCCCTAGGGTTGACCCCAGGCATCACAAAAAACAAAAGTTAGAACTGCCAGACAAAATATCTTTTAAGTCAGTAAATCACATACAATTTAACAAGAAATAAATTGACTAATGAACTTTAAAAAAATTCAAATTAGCCAGGCGGTGATGGTGGCGCACGCCTTTAATCCCAGCACTCGGGAGGCAGAGCCAGGCGGATCTCTGTGAGTTCAAGGCCAGCCTGGTCTACAAAGTGAGCTCCAGGAGAGGCACCAAAACTACACAGAGAAACCCTGTCTCGAAAACAAACAAACAAACAAACAAACAAAATCAAACTAAATATAACCAACAGAAAAAACTAGAGGTAATAAGATCTAGATGTGAACTGGAAAGAGAGGAATAAGATTCGAGGTGAAATGGCTAGATAGTCAGATAATGAAATTTTCAGATCGGCTGGTAAATACTCCATGGCGAGTTTTTTGTGTTTTCTTTGGTTTGGTTTTTTGAGACAGGTTTTTTTTTTTTTGTGTGTGTGTGTAGCCCTGAACTCACGGAGATTGGCCTGCTTCTGCTTCCCCAGTACTGAAATTACCTGTTGCAGCCACCACCACCCAGCTCTCCATAGCATTCTTTTTTTTTGTTTTTTTTTTTTTGTTTTGTTTTGTTTTGTTTTTCGAGACAGGGTTTCTCTGTGTAGCTTTGCACCTCTCCTGGAACTCACTTGGTAGCCCAGGCTGGCCTCGAACTCACAGAGATCCGCCAGCCTCTGCCTCCTGAGTGCTGGGATTAAAGGCGTGCGCCACCACCAACCGGCTCCATAGCATTCTTAATGGGAGCTTAGGGCAGTACAGTGTACCTGAGTTCAGGAGTCTGAGAGCGGCCTTGGGAACATAGTAAAACCTCCATTTCTTAAAAGAAAAAAAGATCATGAATTAACATGTAAAATATCTGCTACAAAGGAAGACTTTTATCAGAAATTGTGGTACTTTATTTTATAAATGAAAAACAAATTTGAGAGCTGGAGAGATGGACCAGGTATTAAAGGCTAGGCTCACAACCGAAAATATAAGAGTTTGGTTCCCAGCATCCATGGCTGTCTCTCCACACTACCCCCAAAAAGAAAGGAAAATTAGAATATGAAAACAGATTAGTATATTTAGAGAAAATGAAAGTGGAGTGTGATGTCTGGAAGCGATCTGAAAAAAAAATCAGTGTGAAGAAAAATTGTAGACTTTCCAGATGGCGTAAGAGTTAGCCAGAAAGGAACTTCAGAGTGTTGATTAAACAGCAACAAGTTGCAAACATTGAAATGCAGAAGATGGAAGATGCATTGAAAATGGAAAACAATGAAAATTCTGACCCAAAACGGTAAATAGGTAGTTTGTGGATTTAGGTGACCTAATTTCTTTAGTCAGAGAATGAATTGCTGAACTCAAAGCAAATATTGAAGGAAATGGTAGTAGAGGATAAACTGGGATGGTAAATTTAAGAAGCCACGTTGAAAAAGTGTAACTAGAAGTTGGAAAGATAGCCAAAGAGAAACAGACACAGTGGTTGAATGAAAAGCACGGGCTGAATGCATCAGAGAAGAAACATGTAGTCAAGCTGAAGATAAACTGCAGTGAGTTGCAGTGGACTAGAGAGAAAATCTTTTCATGAATACAAATTAAAGAGACTATAGGAGAAAGTGGAAGTCTTAGAGGCCCATAAAGAAGAACTAGAGGGACTGGAGAGATGGTTCAACAGTTAAAAGTACTTCTCAGAGGACCCACATAAGGTAACTCACAACCACCTGTAACTCCTGCTTCTGGATCTGACACCCTCTTCTGACCTCCAAGAGCACCTGGATTCATGTGCACATACACACATACATATAAATAAAAAACACATCTTAAAATTAAAAAATCAGAGCTGCATGTGTTGGCATGGAGGCAGAGGTAGGTAGATCCCTGTGAGGTCAGGGCCAACCTAGTATACATAGTTCCAGGACAGCCAGGACTACATAGTGAGATCCTGTTTTGAAAAAATAAACAAAACATTTCATTTAAGACTATATAAAGCCAGCCTTTGACACATCCTAGACCTTCTTTCCCTATGAGAACTCTCAGAGTGGAAAACAGAAAGTAAGAGAAAGATATATATATATCTTTGGAAGACATCCAAAGGAAAAGAGTAGGTGAACATATTCAAAAATCAAAATACTAGACAAGTTGTTAGTGCATTCCTGTAATCCCAGTATTTGAGAGGCTAAGGAATGAGGAAGCCAGCCTACACTATGTAGCTAGACACTTGCAGAAATAATTCCAGATACATTTGAGAAGGGGGCTTTCTCAGTTTCTGCATGCTCTTTAAAAGGAAAATCCAGACACAAATGGCAAGAATTGCTTTGGTCTTGGGGGTTGGTGCTGACATCAAAGTTTTTCTATTTCTAGATCCAACATATCAGAACAGAGGCAAAAACCTAATGAGAATCCTTCTTAACCCATTGAAGAAACTTGCTTTTACAAATGACTTGACCAAGTAGAACAGCTATGTAAAACATGAAGTTGTATTGTCAAGTGGTGAGAATATCTGAAAATGAAAGAATATGTGTATTTTTATTTTTGAGATGTTCGTATGTGGCAGGCTGACCTCAAAGTCATTAGACAGGAATGACTGAACTTTGTGCTTCTACCTCCAGAGTGCTAGGATTACAAGAATACATCACCATACCTGGCTTATGTAGTTGTGGGAATTGAAACTAATCTTATACAGACTAGGCAAATACTCTACCAACTGAGCTACACCCCTGCCCAAGAATATGCAAATAAAGTACAATTACTATATAGACACGTGTTTATATAAACTAAATCAACATATAAGACATCGAAGGAGTAAAGGTTATGATTAAGACTTCAGCTGGGCGGTGGTGGTGCACACCTTTAGTCCCAGCACTCGAGAGACAGAGGCAGGAGGATCTCTGTGAGTTCGAGGCCAGCCTGGTCTACAGAGAAAACCAGGACTACACAGAGAAACTCTCAATAAAACAAAACAAGCAAACAAAATTCTCAGTTAATAAAAATAGTATTTAAAAACCCAAGGAAAAACAACATAAGCTATTTAAAATTCTGTTTGGTTTGAGACAGGTTTTCTCTGTAACACTGGCTGTCTTAGAACTCACTTTGTAGACCAAGCTGACTGCAAACTCAAGGACCTGCCTGTCTCTGCCTCCCAAATTCTAGGATTAAAGGTGTGTGCTACCATGTCCAGTTTAGAATATTTTTAAAGTCTTTTTTTAGATTACATCTATATTTTGTGTGTGTATGTCTGGGTGCAAATGTACCACAGCACATGTGTAAAGGTCCAAGGATAACTAGGAGGCACTTCTCTTCTTTTACCATGGGTTGTGGTAGTTGAACTCAGGTTACAAGGCTCAATGACAAGTACCTTTACTCACTGAGCCATCTCACTGTTCCTAGTATATTTACTGACCTCCCTTTGAGGTTGTAAAAATTAAGTGAAATAGCTAATGAGTGGAGGAAAAGATTTATTGGATGACTGAACGGTGTGGGAGGGACTAACTAACCATGTGATTATAATTTTAGGTGCCTGTGGCATTTGATGATGTCTCCATCTACTTTTCCACTCCAGAGTGGGAAAAATTAGAAGAATGGCAAAAGGAACTTTACAAGAATATCATGAAGGGCAACTACGAGTCTCTCATCTCCATGGGTGAGGCTGAGTTGGCACCTTTTAAACGAGGTGCCAGCAGTCCCAAGAGGGCTGAGACAGTCCCTGTTCCTACAGTGTCCTCATTCTCACTGTCCTTCTGTCCTCAGAATCTAGTTTTAAGCCAAAGAAGGACAGAGCTAACTTACTATGTGCAATTTTTTTCATTTTCTTGTACCTTCTTTCTTGAGGAACTTGTAAATAGTTTGAGGTTGATAGATGAGGAGAAATGATAAAGGATCTAAAGAAATTAATTCCCTGACTGTGGACCTCAAACATTCCACTGCCTTGGAGATTATCATACTGATTTATCTCTTTGTCATGCCTGCTTTCCATTTTTCCTCTCCTAGATTATGCCATGAACCAACCTGATGTCTTATCTCAGATTCAACCAGGAGAACACAGTACAGATGCCCAACCAAGGCCAGAAGCAAGTGAGATTCCTGCAGATGCCAGTGAAGGTAAGAGATAAGATTATATGCTCTTAAGCTCCCTTTCCTGGTCAAAGAAGGGGGCTTAATATGAAGAAAGCATGGCTTAGAGGTGTCCAGAGCCATTCAGTGCTAAAATATTTTACACTTTAAATATTACATTTAACAACTAGAGAGAGTTCAATGATCACCTTGTCCTTTACCCATCAGTACCTCATACATGCTGATAAAGTACTCTACCACTGAGCGATAGCCCCTCCCCCGTTTTTCTTTTGATGTATATATTTTTCTTTTTTTGCATAAATTTAATTCAGTACATTTTTTTGCTGAAAATGATCAAACGGTGTGTTCATTTTTCTTTTTCTTTTTTCTTTTTTTCTTTGTTTGGTTTTTTGAGACAGGATTGTCACACAGGCCTACTCTACTTATGGTACTCAAATTACATATTCCCAAAATGAAAACAGATGCTCAGAAGAAAGCATACTGTTGGCAGTTGAGGCACAGTAAGATGCTCTTGTAATGTAGGCAAAGTGTTGTGTGTATAAAGAACAGTTTCCCAGATCTCTATACCTGCAGGCAGTTCCTTATCAAGATGAGCAGTCTCGGCCTGTGCTGAATTTCCCTTCTGACATGGGGAATGAGCCCTGGTTCCTTTCAGTGGCGAAGACTACTGACTACTTGGTCTAGTTTCATTTCGATTACTATGATAAGATGTCCTGACAAAACCCAATTTAGGGGAGAAAGCATTTATTTTAGCTTACAATTTCAGGTGGCAGTCCATCAGGTGGAGAAGCTGCAGTGTGGAGCTTAAAGTAGCCAGTCACATCACATCTGTAGCGGAGAGCAGAAAGAAGTGAATGCATGCATGCACACGCTTATGCTTGCTCTCTTGTGTTCAGCTTGATTTATTCATTTTACACAGTTCAGCATGACCACAGGCTAACCCAATGTAGACAGTCCCTTATTAAGATTCTTCCTAGGTTGTGTCAAACTAACAATTAAAGCTGATCATCACACCCAGTAATCTTAAATATGAATCCAAAATATTAAAATGAAATCATGATGCTTTTCTTTTTCTAAATGTTGTGTTCTTTGTAGCCATATCCACTGAAAAGATAAAAAAGCAATGATAACTGATTAGCAATTAGCACCCTTCCCAAGGGCCAATAGGTGTGTACCATTATATTGATCCTTATATTTGCTTATTAAATCGCACAGGTCACTGTTTTTAGAACTTTGGGAGAGATGTAAAGTCCTTTAGGATTTAAGGATACATTTTGAAAGAACTCTCCCCAAAAAAGGGCTTCATCATTCTCTCTCTCTCTCTCTCTCTCTCTCTCTCTCTCTCTCTCTCTCTCTCTCCCCCCTCTCCCTCTCCCTCTCCCTCCCCCCCCCCCCCCCGTGTGTGTGTGTGTGTGTGTGTGTGTGTGTGTGTGTGTGTGTGTGTGTGTGTGTGTGTGTCTTCCTCCCTCCTTTTTCCGCTTTCCCTCACACACATACTCTGTGTGCTTGATATTTCATCCCAGGCCTAGGATGCCCTTTTTTGGGCTATTAGAAAGCTGCTAATATCCAGAAAATGAGTCAAGCTCTCTATAGTTATTTCTTCAAAGACCTCATAGATTACTTATAGTTTTATTTCTTGCAAATAAAAATAGCTAACTGTTGTACTAATTGTTTTGTTTCTTGAGACAGAGTTTTTTTATGTTCTCCAGCTATGAAATTCATCATAGCCTCAAATTCACAATCTTCTACCTCCAGCTCCCAAGTGCTAGGATTATAGACATGTTAAGCTTTTCAGTGTCTTTTTAAAAATCTCTACCCCGCCCCCTCCCCCTGCCCCCGGCTCCCCCCCCACCGCGCTTCCACCCAACCCTCCTACCATCTGTCTCACCCTCTCCCTCTTTTTCCTCTTCTTTCTTCTTTTTTGAGACAGGGTCTCTCTATGCAGCTTTAGCTGTCCTGGAACTCACTCTGTCGACCATGTTGGTCTTGAACTCACAGAGACCTGCCTGCCTCTGCTTCTTTAGTGCTTTACCTTTATTTTTATTTTATGTGTATGGGTCTTTTGCCTGAATGTTTGTTGGTGTACCACATGTGTGCAGTGCCCATGGGGAGCTGGAGAGGGCATTGGATCCCCTGGGACTGGAGTTACAGATAGTTATGACCTACCATATAGATGCTGGAAATTTTTACCCAGGTCCTCTAGAAGAGCAGCCAGTGCTCCCAACTGTGGAGCCATCTCTCCAGCCCCCTCTTAAATCAGCCAGGAACTAGTGGAATATAACTGCCCAGAGCAGAAAGAAAAGGTTAAATAAGAATAGGGCCCAAGGACTACCTGCTGTGGGGAGAGAGAGGAAGAACGTGCAGATTTGGGCGTGGACAGCAACCTGCTTTTCCTATTTCCTACTGTGAGCTACAAAGAAAGCTAGTAAGTTAAGTCCATCCTTATCTTTGTTCCTTCCTTGATTTTGTTTATACATGTATATATAAAGAAAAGGGAGGGGTGTGGTGGTAGAGGCAGGCGGAGGGATCTCTGGGAGTTTAAGGCTAGCCTGGTCTACATAGGAAGTTCTCGGCCAGCCAGGGCTATGAGTTGAGACCTTGTCTCCTTTCCCCACCAAAAGAAAGAAAGAAAGGGGGGTAGGGCCATTGAGACAGTGGGTAAAGGTACATGCTGCCAAGCCTGGTGCTCTGAATTTGATCCCTAAAACCCACAGAGTGAAAATAGAGAATCAACCACTACAGGATTTGCTGTAAGCTTACACACACACACACACACACACACACACACACACACACACACACAATAAAAGTGTAATTTAAAAAAATATATGAAAGTGTAGAGGACTGGTGGCTATGAAGAGAAAGTCCCAAATGAATGAAATTCTATTCATCAGAAATAATGGCTTTTATAGTCACATTTAACAGGCATGATGGTACAAGCTTATATTCTTAGCAATACAGGTAGAATGGGGACAGGAAGATTAGGTATTCAGTGTCTTCCTTGGCAACATAACAAGTTTGAGGCCAATCTGGGCTACATGAGATTATGCCTTTTTTTTCCTTTTCCTTTTCTTTTTCTTTCTTTTCTTTTCTTTTTTTTTCCCTTTGGAGCCTTTTCTGGAACTCACTTGGTAGCCCAGGCTGGCCTTGAACTCACAGAGATCCACCTGCCTCTGCCTCCTGACTGCTGGAATTAAAGGTGTGCACTACCACTGCCTGGCCCGAGATTATATCTTTAAAAAAAAAAAAAGAAGTAACAGTAAACAGATGTGGTGGCGCATGCCTTGAATCCCAGCACTTCAGAAGCAGAGGCAGAGGCAGGTAGATCTCTGTGAATTCAAGGCCAGCCAAAGCTACATAGCAAAAGAAAAGAAAAAAGTACAAACTTAATAATGTCAAGCTGGCAGTGGTGGCACCCACCTTTAATCCCAGCACTGGGAGGCAGAGGCAGGTGGATCTCTGTGAGTTCAAGGCCAGCCTGGTCTACAAAGCAAGTTCCAGGACCAGCCAGGACTGTTATGTAGAGAAACTTTGTCTCAAAAAAAAAAAGAAAACAAAAAAATTAATAATGTCATGTTCAACAAATAAACATGATTATGTTACCTTTTAAAGAGATTTATTTATTATTTTATGTGTATGAATGTTTTGCCTGTATGTATGTATGTGAATTGCATGCCCAATAAGGTTTTAAGAGGCCATTGGATCCCCTGGAACTACAATTACAAATGGTTATGTGCTAGGAATCAAACCCAGATTCTCTGCAAGAGCAACAAGTGCCTTGACCACTGGACCAACTCTCCAGCCCAATTTTACCTTCTGATTCAAGTCCCCAAAATCCATTCTCCCTTTTTCTCCACAAATAGAGCCTGGCCTTTCAACCTCAGATATTCTGTCTTGGATTAAACAAGAGGAGGAGCCTCAGGTTGGAGTTCCCCAGGAGTCCAAAGAGAATGACCTGTACAAAGGCTCCTCCTATGCTGGTGAGTAACAGGGAACAGAGACGTTCATAGTCAGCTCACACTAGGAGTGACTAAAGAATGCAGCTGACAAGGTGCTAGAAAGACAAGGAGCAGAGAGGAAGAAAAGAAAGATAATGGTCAGCCAAGTTAGAAATGAAACCAAAGGACCACCAAGATTAGTGTGTGTGGAGGCACATGCAGTGACAGGTTGTGGGAGCTGGTTCTCTTCTACTGTGTGGGTCCCGGAGATTGAACACAGGTTGTCAGGCTTGATGGCAAATGCATTTACCCACAGAGCCGTTTCACCAGCCCAGAAAACGTACTCTTAAATGCAAATAAGAATTGTTGGGGCTGGGTATATCCGTACAAAGCCCTGGGTTCAATCTTTAGCACTATATTTAAAAAAGAAAGACAGGATTGTTAGAGGAAGAATAATAAGTGTATAGAAATGAATAAAAGATGGAAATTAGAAAAACAGAGTATCTGAAGATCACTTAGAAAGGATAGCTAGAATAGAGCCAGGCATGGTAGCCTGTAATCCCAGCACTCAGGAAGCAGAAGCAGGAGGATTGCCTGGTCTAGGATTGCCTGGAAACAGTAAGTTCTAGGCCAGTCAGGGTTATACAACAAGACTCTGTCTCAGTCATCAATCAGTCAAAATAGAATAGAACAAAAATGGAGAGTGGGGTAGAGAGAAGTAGGCAGAAGTGTTGGAGGAGTGCAAGTGGAAATATCTCCCCTCAGAAAAAGGAAAAATAGTGATAGACAAGGAAACGAATGTTTCCTTCTGTAATGAGAGCTAGGGCCAGCTGTGACTTACTTTCTGAACAATAGAAGAGAATCTTGGCCAATGAGATGGCTTTAGTGGGTAAAGGCACCTGTTACCAAGCCTGACCATCTAGGTGTGATTTCCCAAGACTCGCATTGTGGAAGGAGAGAACCAGCTTCACAAGCTGTCCCCTGACCTCCACATGTGTAGCATGGCATGCACATGTCCCCCTCCACAAGATAGACAGTGTAATTTATAGAAGAGAATCTGAAGATCAGAAAGGACTCAGTTGTTTATATAGCATAATAGAACCTGGTGGTTTTTTGTTTTTTTTTTGTTTGTTTTTGGTTTTGCTTTAGTCTATGCTGTGCCCTATGTTTCTCAGGACTCTGGGAAGTGAGAAATAAGACAGTTTCTGCTCTTTAGAAAATTTATACCACAGACATACATACCAATCTAGACATGTCGTTAGGTGCATGGGAGTGAGTTAGATGGATGACTTAAAGATATTTGGGGTTTAGAAAACATGTCAGTTTTAGTTTAGGTATTTAGGTACTGCATGACCAAGTGTGTGTAAAGCCAACCTATAATCCCAGCACTTGAGTTCAGGGCTAGACTCAAGTTTGAGGCTAGCCTGAGTTACAGGAAACCCGTCTCATGCCCTGCACACCCCACCCACCCTCCCCACCCCCCGGCGCCACCCTCCTCCCCAGTAAAAGAGTGTGAGGGAAGAATGGGCCTAAAAGATTGACTAGTTTGACTTGACTGTGATTTGGGAAGACAGGGAGAGAGATGGGAAGCATCCTGGAAAAGGGAGAACAGAATGACCAAAGACACAAAGGTGGAAATGTGTTCTTATTTCTGGGAGGACAGCCAGCTGACTCTGGAAGGGTCTATCTCATAAGATGTGGAATGGAAGTAAAGAGGTGAGTCAGGCCCTGTCACACCAGGCAATGGATAAAGTTATTGAGTAGAAGTGAAACATGAAGGAAATACTGTGGGGAAGATTGGTGCCAAGGTTACTCCTTTTCAAAATGGAGCATCGCCGTACAGTCTTATATTTGTAATGATTTGGCACCCGGTCTACAGGGGCCGTGTTAGTAATGAGAGCCCTTCCCTGAGCTTATGTGAGCAGTTAGCTGCTTAGAGCAGCCTGCTAGAACTGGTTGGAATGTGAGAGGTACTGGTGAGATAACTCTGAGTCCCTTCTTTCAGATGAAGAACTTGTCATCAAAGCCGAAGACCTTGCCAGAGCCTCCTTGTGTCCTGAAGCTCCAGTAGCCTTCCCTGCGCCCCCACCACCAGCAGCCAAGGATGCTTTTTCAGACGTAGCTTTCAAGAGCCAGCAGTGTGCACCCATGACACCTTTTGGACGCGCAGCCACTGACCTGCCCGAAGCCTCAGAGGGACAAGTGACTTTTACTCAGTTAGGAAGCTACCCACTCCCACCTCCAGTTGGAGAGCAGATGTTCTCATGCCACCATTGTGGCAAGAGTCTCAACCAAGACATGTTAATGACACATCAGTGTAGCCATGCTGCCGAACACCCCTTAACCTGTGCCCAGTGTCCCAAGCACTTTGCCCCACAGGTGGACCTCGGTAGCACCTCCCAGGACCATGCCAGTGAAACACCACCCACCTGCCCTCACTGCTCCCGGACCTTCACTCACCCCTCACGACTCACCTACCACCTTCGGGTCCACAACAGTACTGAGCGCCCTTTCCCTTGTCCTGATTGTCCCAAGCGCTTTGCTGACCAGGCGCGACTCACCAGCCATCGGCGAGCTCATGCTAGCGAGAGGCCCTTCCGTTGCCCACAGTGTGGCCGTAGCTTTAGTCTGAAGATCAGTCTCCTGCTGCACCAGAGGGGGCATGCGCAGGAGCGCCCTTTCTCCTGTCCTCAGTGTGGCATTGACTTCAATGGCCACTCTGCCCTGATTCGTCACCAGATGATCCACACCGGCGAGCGTCCCTACCCGTGCACAGACTGTAGCAAGAGCTTCATGCGTAAGGAACACTTGTTAAACCACCGGAGGCTGCACACAGGTGAGCGGCCTTTCCAGTGTCCGCACTGTGGCAAGAGCTTCATCCGTAAACACCACCTCATAAAGCACCAGCGCATCCATACAGGCGAGCGGCCCTACCCCTGCGCACTGTGCGGGAGGAGCTTCCGCTACAAGCAGACGCTCAAGGACCACCTGCGGACCGGTCACGGTGGAGGCTGTGCGGGTGATAGGGACCCTTCCGCACAGCCACCAGACCCACCTGGTCCACTCTTAACTGCCCTGGAAACCTCTGGCCTAGGTATTAGCACTGAGGGCCTAGAATCTAGTCAGTGGTATGGGGAAGGGAGTGGAGGGGTGGTTTTGTAGATCTGTGGCCCGTTGATTATTTATGTTCACAGCAGAGTGGAAGGCCCAGGAAAGAGCCGACAAGCTCCACAATCCATAGTAATTATCTGGTACACAGAGGAATTTGGGGGTGTCTGCACTCAACTAGAGACATACTTGTGCTTTGGAAGTCCACAACAGTACAAGAATACCTTATTTTGAAAACTGGAAGAGAAGTCAGCACCCATGTCTTTCCAGATACCACAAAAGGAGTTTGGGAAGCAAGATTTGGCTTCTGATCATTCTGTCAGGATAGCAGAGTGAGAGTAGACTGCCTCTAGGTAGAGACGGGTGCATGGGAAGAGCCCCCCAAGCCTGAAGCCTGTCTTTAATTCCTCAGTGATGGGATGACTGCTGGGGGAATGTGTCTCTGAAACCAGCTAAGCTCTGTTCATACCTGTGTAGTCACCTTCTCCTGAAACATGGTGACTTGAGGCTGCCTTCCTAGGCCTAGATTCTGTCTGCTAATACATTTTGTTTAATGTTGGTGAACAAGAAATCTGACTTTAATAGCTTATTGAAGGGGACAGTTCTTAGCTTTTACTAGCTTGATTTGAAACATTCTGACTCTTGTAGCAGCTTTTAAAAGGGTAGAGAACTTTACCATAGCCCTGGTTAGAAAATTAGGAAAAGAGTTTTCTCTCCAGGTAGGAGCTAAAGATCCCAGAGATCCCAGGCACAACAGTGATAGCAGGACCTAAAAATCTACCTGAATCATTAGTTTAGAGTCATTTCTTATCAATTTATCCCTTCTCTTTTCCTAGCCGATGATCATGTTTTTCTATTTCTGGTGTTTACTTCTCTCTCTCTCTCTCTCTCTCTCTCTCTCTCTCTCTCTCTCTCTCTCTCTCCCCCCCCCCTCCAAGGTCTTTCTGTGTATCCTGGCCTAGAACTTGCTTCATAGACCAGGCTGACCTTGAACTCACAGAGATCTGCCTGTCTCTGCCTCATGTTCTGGGTGCACCACCATGCCCAACCTGATTTTCTTTACAATCCTTAGCAGCAAAAATCAGCACTTCAAGGCATCAAGCACTCTAGCAAGTGCTGCTGAGCTCAGGGCTTCTGTTCCCTTAGTAGTATGATGGCAGTATTGTAATGTGATGCTCTTGAGGAAAGGATTTGCATCCCTGCCTGCTCCACCCTCACTGGCAGTGAACAGAATGAAACCTCTCCTCAGTCACTGAGAGTTAAACATCCTATCTGTCTACCTGATTGGTAAATTTTTTTGATTTTTCGCGACAGGGTTTCTTGTGTAGCTTTGGAGCCTATCCTGGAACTCACTCAGTAGCCCAGGCTAGCCTCGAACTCACAGAGATCCACCTGCCTCTGCCTCCCAAGCACTGGGATTAAAGGAATGTGCCATCGCCACCCAACTTGATGTGGTTGTTGTTAGACAGGGCTTCACTGTGTAGCCTTGGCTGGCCTGGAGCTCAGAGATTTGCCTGCCTCTGCATCTAGAGTGCTGGGATTAAAAGCATGTGCTATCATGCTCAGCCATCTGTTGCACTTTGAGGGGTCATGACTACTATGCATTCTGTTCTTGGGCACTCTTGGTCCTCTGAAAGCACCTGAACCTAGTTCTATTCCTAAGTGTCTGTGTAACCAGCTATGTGTCCTCTTCCTATTTCAGCTCTCACATTGTTATCACCAAAATGAGGCTGTTAAAAGAAAAGGTGGGCCTCCAGAAACTTTCTAAAAAGAAAGAAGAATCTTGTGATACAGTTCTTCTCTGCCAAAATCCTGTCCTTCCTTTGGCTTCTGTCCAAACAAAGTCAAATGAGGCAGAAAAACCAAAGCAGAGAAACTCATGTAGAAACTTGGTGGAAGTCAGCTTGTCTTGTTCTGCTCTTAGTGGGTCCTGAAGTAGAAGACAGAGAATGTAGAAGCCCTATATTTGGGACAGGAGCTGTTTATCCCACATTCCTTTGTTCCTCCAGAGTCTTCTGTAATGTCTAGAATGAGATCTAGAACTGTTTAGACATGGCACTTTCTGGATAAGGAAGAGAATGCTTTCTCCTGATTACTAGGCCCAACCTTCAGTCTGCATAGTTAGTGTACCCACAGTAGGAAATGGTGTTTGCCTAGTTACTGTGCTCCTGCCAAAGTTCTGCCTGAACATGCTGCTCTTCAGGATAATCACATATAGGAAACACTGTTTAGTGACATTAATAATACCAAGGGTCCTGGGAGACATAAGAAATGTATGTAAGACCTGGTCTGCTGTCATAACTTTCAGTCTGTAGGCAGTGAAAATCCCCAGGGGATAGATAAGACAGATGATGGCAGAACTGTGGTATATTGGGATAAAGAGCTTAGCCAGAATCTGGACCATCCCACAGGAAAACTTGGAAATTCTGAAATGCCCAAATCAGGTTCCAGCTTCATTAATGACCCAGTAGGGACTTGAATGTGAGATTTGCACCTGAAAAAGAATGAATCAAGGCATTACACTCAGGGTGATGGAAGGATTTGCTAGAGCTGAAGAGAAGATACCTACTGAAGCTTTGGTGTGGGGCTAGATAGCATCTGAAGTTCATCTGAACTTAACAGATTTACCAAGGACACAAAAGTTAATGAGAGGCCTATGTACCAGAGTGCTGCCGACGGATCCCAATGCCTGTTCTGTTAGGAGCCATAGCCAGCAGGGGTCTAAAATGGCTAAAAGAGAATGTAGTTCAAATACCAACCACACAAGAGCCATAAAATCAAATAAAATGGCAGGGCCATTCCAGAAACTTGGAAGCATATGGAATCAGTGCTAGTCCTTGGTGTGGCTCAAAGTAGGAACTTCAGTTGTTGTATAGTCAATTCTTCCATTCATCAGTCTCCTATCAAATAGAACCCATTTGTTTGTTAAAGATTCAAAAGTGGCTCATTGGAAATGTAAAGTCCAACAGAAATTTTCAGCGGGTAGAATCTCCTTGTCTACCTGGTGTCTTGAGAGAAACTATACATTTAACCCTAGAATTAAAGAGGCATTTGGGGCCTAGTGCTCATGACCAGTTCCTGTAGGGAAGAGGAAACTCCAGAAATGTCCTACTGATCTGTCTGTTCCCTAGATGATGGCACAAAAACTCTTCCTCAGAGTGCATCCAGGAGATGGCTCTAACCAGATTTACTCTTTACTTTCTGGAGTTTTCATTGTCAACACTGAATGAGCCTCTGGTTCAGCCACAGTATGAAAATAAATGCAAGTTGGTCAATTGTTTATAAAGTAAAAGAAGATTGATCCTTTCCTACTTGGCATTTGATAATGGAAACACCTTAGTCGTGAACTCCAGAGAGAGCCATGCTCTACATCACTTCCTTCATTAATAAACTACAAAGTTTCCGGTAGGGCTCCCCTAGGCTTCTCTTGAGATGATATCCATATCTATCTCAGCCAGTCCCCCTGACTTATGAGACAATAACAAATATTTCAGTCTCAAAAAGACTCACTGAAAAGAGTACCTAAGTTCATGTCAATGGGTTGGAAATCCCAAGTTTATGTCATATTTCTTGAGGAGACAGAACATTCCTCCCCTCTTCTTATGCCTTAGCTCCTTAGACAACAAAAAGCAGCCTCTGCAGCTGCTTGAGTAGCAATGGGGCATTTTCAGATGAGGACCTGGTATTGTTATATACATATCTATTTGGATACACACACACATATATACACATACATACATACATGCATATATATTGGTTTTTTGAGACAGGGTTTCTCTATATAGCCTTGGCTGTCCTGGAACTTGCTCTGTAGATCAAGCTGGCCTTGAACTCAGAGATCCTCCTGCCTCTGCCTCCCAAGTTCTGGGATTAAAGGCATGTGTCATTGGATGGATATTTTTGATTGCTCATTTCACCCTGGTTCTCTGTAGCAAAGGGGTAGTCTCTTATCATATGGGGTGTATACAACAGGCTGTTCTTTTGGCAAGTTTCAGGTTCCTATAAACAAGATAATTAGGAGTTCAAAATTAGGGACTGGAGTGATATCTCAGTAAAGTGCTTGCTATGCAAGCATGAGTATCTGAGTCTAATCCCTAGAACTCGTGAAAAATCTAGAACCAATGCCACGGGCTTGAATCCCAGCACTGGGGAGGCTCTTGCTGGCCTGTCACCTGGCTTAATTGGTAAGTCTCAGGTCAATAAGAGACCCTGTCTCAAAGAACCAAGTGGCTCCTGAGCAATGACTCCCAAAGTCCTCTGGTCTCCACATCAAAGTATAACACACGCACGCACACGCACGCACGCACGCACGCACGCACGCACGTCAGGTTGATTGGGGGTGGAGCTAAGGAGGGTATAGGGACTCAATGCTCGTCATCATCCGTACAGTATTAATGGCTAGGAGCAGAGCTTCTGATGTCAGACCTAGATTCAAGTCTCAAGTAATATAACATTATTTTACCTTCTGAAGACCTTGTTTCCTTATAAGGTAGTGGGAATGCTTCCTGTATCTCAGATGTGGTAAGGCTTAAGAACCCATGACACAACATTTTACAGAACCAATCTGAAAGGTGATCACAAGCTGCACTGGAAATGGAAGTGTTAAGAGCCAGGGTCTGGCCAGGTGTGATGGTTCACACCTGTTGTCCTAGCACCTGGGAAGCTGGGGCAGCAGGATTGCTGAGGATCCTAGGCCAGCCTAGGTTACATAGGAAAACCCTGTTTTTAAAGGGGAGAGGGAACTTGTGTTTAGTTCCCAGCACCAACATGGTGGCTTACAATTTTAACTCCAGTTTCAAGGGATCTGGTCCCATCTTCTGGCCTCTACAGACACCAGACATACATGTGGTACATATATATACATGTAGGCCAAACACTCATTCACATAAAAACAAGCATCTTGCCGGGCGGTGGTGGCGCACGCCTTTAATCCCAGCACTCGGAGGCAGAGGCAGGCGGATCTCTGTGAGTTGGAGGCCAGCCTGGGCTACCAAGTGAGTTCCAGGAAAGGTGCAAAGCTACACAGAGAAACTCTGTGTCAAAAAACAAAACAAAAAACAAAAGATGGGGTTTTTTTTGGTTTCTCTGTGTAGCTTTGCACCTTTCCTGGATCTTGCTCTGTAGACCAGGCTGGCCTGGAACTCACAAAGATCTGCCTGCCTCTGCCTCCCAAGTGCTGGGATTAAAGGTGTGTGCCACCACTGCCCGGCACATATTTTGTTTTAAAAAAAAAAAAGATTGCCCACAGAAGTACATGACCCCTAGCTGGCTCAGCCTTTTGCTACCTACCATCTTTTTCATAAATTTAGTATGATCTCTTACTGATTATTTTCCACATCTACCAGCCCACATAAGTTTCTGATGCCACAACCCCATTTGGCTCTGATTCTCACTTGATTTTTCTTCTTTTTCCTCCTCTTAAAATTTTTTTTAGATTTTATTTTATGTGTCAGTGTTTTGTCTGCATGTGTGTATGTGCATCATGTGTGTGCCTGGTGCCTGCAGAGGTCAGAAGAGGGTGTCAGATTCCCTAGAACTGGAGTTATGAATGATTGCAAGCCACTGTGTGGGTGCTGGGAATTGAACCTGGGTCCTCTGCAAGAGCAACAAATGCTCTAAACCACTTTGTTTTGTTTTTTAAACTTCAAAAGCAGATTCTGTAATTAGGTTGGCAGTAAACATATTGGGGCACCATGCTGATCAATACAGACTCGGGCAATCCTCAGTTTCCCATGTTCCAAAAGAAAGACACCAAAATGAAGGAGTGACAGCTGCTGACAGTGTGAGGACCAAGTTCCATCCCCTCGGGAATCTTGATTTCCCTGTCCAGTCCCACATGGCTGGCTCATTCTGTTGCTTTTCATGAAGTCAAAGCTGGACTTTGCTAAACCACTGTTTTAAAACAAAGAATTTTAGGGCAGTGGTGGGACACACCTTTAATGCCAGCACTCTGGAAGCAGAGGCAGGTGGATCTCTGTGAGTTCGAGTCTAGCCTGGTCTACAGAGCTAGTTCCAGGACAGCCAAGGCTACACAAAGAAAACTCAAAAAAAAATTTAAAATATATTCTTTTAGATATTTCTCAGTTTTTCTTAGATTCTATAATTGGGAAATCTGGCCCAGTTCCTTTTCCCATGCTCATTCTAACTCAGTCAGCTACAGTCAGCAGTAAAATTCCTCTGGTCCCTGTACCAGGATCTGTGAACCTCATAAACATGTCCAGGAATGGGAACCATACAGCAGTTTAGTGCTGCCAGAGGGGACAGGATCTCTGTTTAATGCTTATTGAGCTTTCTTCAAATATTTCTATTTCACCAATACGATCATAAGACCAACACTTAGTGTCCTTGCTGAGAATACCTGGAAGATGCCGTTTGTCTTGTGAAAGGAGTCACTTGCCACCTGAAGTCAAGGGAGGGAGAGGTAGTATCCTTTTCTGACCCTGCTCCTGTTTTCATTTGTTTGTTTATTAGAGACAAAGTCTCACTGTATAACCCAGTTGGCCTCAAACTCACAATCTCTGCTCAGCTTCCCTGGAGAAGGGATTACAGATGAGTGGACCATGCCTGACTCTTCATGCCCCCACCCCACATTTCCTCCTTTTTCTTTTTGCTTTTTTGAGACAGGGTTTCATGTATCCCAGGCTGGCTGCAAACTTGGTTTGTAGCCTAGATTTCTCTGGACTTCTGCTCCTGCCTCTCCTTGGTTTTACCAAGTGCTAGGGATCAAACTCAGAGCTTTGTGCATGTCAGGCAAGCACTCTACCAACTGAGCCACACCCCCCCCAGCCTCTTTTTCTTTTTATAGAATTGACCGCAGTCACAGATATGTGACGGCTTTGGTCAACTTGGTCGATTAAATGTCCCCTCCATATCATGCCTAAGACCACCAAGGAAGGCTAACACTACAGTCTCATCAGAACAACCTCAAAAACAGTGATTCCGAAGTTCTCATCTCAGTCGTTACATTCCAAATAAAGGGCTTGATAAAACTTCACTGAACTATGTTGGTTTGTGCTTATTAGCAAAGCAGTATTTATAATTCAATCTTGAAATTGCCCTAAAAGATAGGGCTGGGGTTTAGGAGTTAGGGTTTAGGAGTTAAGAGCACTTACTGCTCTTACAGAGGACCAGAGTTTTGTTCCCAGCATCCATTTTGGGTGTCCATAACCTCCTGTTACAATAGCTCCAGGGTTGCAACTTTCCCAAGAAATTTTTTTTCCAAGACAGGGTTTCTCTGGGTAGTCCTGGCACTTGCTCAGTAGACCAGGCTGACCTTGAACACAGAGATCCACCTGCCTCTGCCTCCAGAGTGCTGGGATCAAAGGTGTGCACCAAAGCTGCCTGGCAAGAAAACTTTTTTAAAGACATAATCTCAAGTAGCCCAGCATGGTCTTGAGCTTGACATATAACCAAGGACGACCTTGAACTCCTTATCTTTCTGTCTTCACCTCCCAAGGGCTGAGATTATAAGCCTTTACTACCACATTATATCCATACTATGTAATATTCATAAATATAAATAAATATATGGAGAATATCAGGTCAGGAAGGTAGCAAGCACATTCCTGGAGACTTGGTTTTGTTTAACCAAACCAAGCAGAATTCAAAATTAAGGATGTACATGAACTAATATATGCCAATCAATTCTTGGCTTCTAGTTTAAAATTTAAAAAAATTAAAAATAGCATAAGAAATGCATTATCTACCAGCCAACCTCAGTAAATAAACAGGATAAACACAGTTACCAAAGATAATTAAACCATGCTTACATTATTAGCCAGTAGGATTTAGGATTTTCATTTTCTCATATGATCTTGTGGGGTAAGGACAAGGAGATGTACAAATGACTATTGCACTGGTTTGTTCATGGCTGAACATGAGAATGACCTGGGGGGCTTAGGAAATACTTAAAAGTATCTGTCATGGCTTCATTGCTCTGTGACAGAGAATGGATTTATTTTTTTCAAGTTCCCTCAAATGCTTCCAGAGTGCCTGTGAGAATTAGAAGATCATGAATGAGAAAGTTGGTTATTGAACTGGAAATAGCCTAAATTGGCCTGCTTTCCTAGAGCAGCGAGTGGGGATTAGAGAATAATAAAGGGTCTTTGACTCCCTAGTGCAGAGCCATAATTTTATTCCAGAGGTAGGTCTATAGCCATGCACATGCCAACAGGGAGGAAAGCTTGAGTCTCTGAGGCTGGCCTTGTTTCCTAATCCCACTGGCCACCTTGGCAGTCCCATAGCCTTTTTTTCGGGGGGGGGGGGGGGGCTTGTTTATTTGGTTGGTTCATTTTGTTGTTTTTGAGAGTGGCTTAAGGGCAGCCCAGACTGGCCTCGAACTCTTGATCTTCCTGCCTCAGCTTCCAGAATGCTGAGATGATAGATGTTCAATATCACATGTGGAAAGCCTGCTTGTTAAATTAGGGATGAGGCCTAATTTAGTAGATAGAAACCTATTATTTTCTTTACTTAAGCCAAGAGAAAGCCTAGCTATTTCCTTTATTAAATAAAACCCCACTTGCCTCTGCCTCCAGAGTGCTGGGATTAAAGGTGCACACTGCCATGTTGGCAAAGGGGTGAAGTAACTACCTTTTCTGAGTGCCTACTATGTGCCAGACATTAGTTTATAATTTTTCAACATTAAAATAGACTAGCATACCCCCCATTTATATATAACATTGGAGGCTTGGAGAGCTTTAGGAAATGGCAGATAAATGAAAATTCTGAGTCCCCTCTTTTGTCCTCTGTCCAGAGCAATAGCTATAGAATTCTTGGAGATGAGATGGAAATAGTCAATATCCACCTGACAAGTTAAGGGCCAGGCCTAAGTCTATCTCTTGCAGAAAGTGTACATTAACTATGATACTTTAACCAGTTGCCCATTTTGCTCCTCAGGGAGCTCATAGTTAACCAGTGGTTGCTGGAGACTGCTCTAACGAATGACTGGACACCCCCAGTGCAGGCTGTCTTGCAGCCTGGGATAGCTCAGCTTCCTCCATTCCTTGGTCATCACAGCACCTCTCATAGGGTCCATGACCAATGCAGCTCCCACAGCTCCCCCATCGTGTGCTTCCTTGCTTTTCTCCCAGAAGAAAAGCTAGCATGGATTATAGAGTTTTGTGCCCCACAGTTGGTAGGCTTGGTAGTTATAAAATAATGCAGCTATGTTGAAAATGCACATTAGAACCTGTTTGAGCATTTTGTTCATATAAAAATGTGAACTGGACCGCTAGCCTAAGCAGAAACTGCCACAAGGTAAAAGTGTGAGTGGCTGTGTGAAAATCCACCAGCAAAGAGGTAACTGAATTAGATGGTGGTGTCACTTGATAAAAAGGGACATTGCTATGACTCACTACACACTTATGATGGGAAATTGTATTCGTTTTATTCTGAGGAGATAGCTTAAACACTTGGTACTAACCTAGTCCTCCGTTTCCCATCTCTAGGAAAGAGAAAATAGAGTTGACCTCCATAGGTCAGAATATGTCTTCGAAGATGTGGATTGCTGGTAGAAGCATATTTGTCTGGAGCTTTCCAGGCTGGACTTGCCTGGTTCCTCTCATAATAGTGGACATGATATTTACAATGGGATATTGCACTAGCATGCATGCACAGCCTGTATCCAGGAAACAGGGAGAGAAATCACCGACTTCTGGAAGCGAAACCTTTACTAGCCCCAGAGCTCCTTGAGAATAAGTCTGTGAAATACTCATTTCTATATTCTGGAAGCATACCTAACAAAGCACCTGATAACTGTCCTTCTGAAGATAGTCCCCCTGGTACCCCTCCCCACAGCCTCATACTGTTCTCAATTTTAAGTGTAGTAAAACTCATGGCTTCCATCAGGTCTGACTTTCCATAAGGTGATAAGCGTTAGAGAGCTCTGCCCCCCGCAAGACACAGCCTGGTCATTTAGGAAGACAAAGTGGACAGTGTGCAGTAGATAACTACAGGGACTTATCAGTGGGAGGTGATTACTTTTTTCTTTTTAAGATGGCCTGGAACTAACTCTGGAGACCAGGCTGGCCGTAAACTCAGAGATCTAGCTGCCTCTAGATAGTGCTGGATTAAAAGTGTGCACCACCATGCCTGGCAAAAGGGTTAGGGTAACTACCTTTGCTGAGAGCCTACTGTGTGCTAGGCATTAGTTCCCAAGTTTTCAACAGTAGAATAAGACTAATGTACCGTCCCCACCATCGCTTATATAGAACACAGGAAGCTTGGGGACAGTAAATATTCAAAAATCACAGCCAGTAGTGATTTTGCAGTTTAAACCCACGAGTATGTAACCACAAAAGCCACCTTCTGCCTAAGCAGAATCTTGACACATAGTAGGTGTTCAGTAAATATTTCCATAAAATTTTCACAAGGGTGAGGCACCATTTTTCTCCCGGGATGGCCAATGCATTCGTAATAAGTCATAGAAATCAAGCCCATAGTCCAGGCCCGCGCATGGCTTGTGACATGAAGACCGACCCCCCCCCCCCCCAGACCTAGAGGCCGGGTTCGCCGCCACATCTCCTTTTTGGGGGGCGGCGGTGGCCCCCCAGCCTGGAGCGGCCCCCGGCCAGCCCTGCAGGCGGGCCGGAGCTCCAAGGCCATTGGCTGGCGCGCCGGCTGCGAGGGGCGGGGAGCGCCACCAAAGGGGACTGTTTGCTCCTACGGGCTGTAGATGGAGCTGTCCGGCCCCGGCAAGGGGGAAGGCGCCTGGAAAACGTTCTTCTTCTCCCTGGCCGGCCCGAGCGGGGAACAGCACTCCCAGGATGCAGTTTGTGTCAACACGGCCGCAGCCTCAGCAGCTGGGCATCCAGGGCCTGGGGCTGGACAGCGGGAGCTGGAGCTGGGCCCAGGCTCTGCCCCCGGAGGAGGTCTGCCACCAGGAGCCGGCGCTGCGTGCGGAAATGGCCGAGGGAATGCCGCCCATGCAGGTGGGTGCAGCGCCCGCGGGCGCCATGGCCGCGCCGCTGCCGTGGGGGCGGGGCGGGGCCGGGCCTCGGGGAGCCTCGCGGCTGCCGCGGTCCCGGGCGGCCGCCGGAGCGGGCCCGGCGCAGGCCCCGAGCGCCAGGCCCTTGCGCGCCGCCACGGAGCAGCTGCCCGGGCCGGTGCTGCCTGGGCCCAGGGCCCATGGGATGCAGGAACCAGGGCTGTGCTGCCCCGGACCTGGCGCGGCCGTGGCCGCTTCACTGAGCCGGGACCGGGGTTCCTCTTGGCGTCCGACCCGCCTGGGTTTGCGGCAGGCCTCTTCCCGACCCACAGAGGGAACGATTCTACCATGTTTACACTGTAGTCAGTTTAATAAAAGGGTTTACAGCTGTTTTATTACTGTCTTTCTCCGAGAATAAAGAGCAGCCCACTTTTCCTCTGTACAAGGGGTGAGCCAGGCAAGGGCCTGGGAGGGGACTTTGTCGCCTTGGTTTAGCAAACTTGGCTGCATATTGGAATCGCCTGAGCAGCTTAAGACAACTGACTACGCCCAAACCGCATCCCTGAGCGTTGTCTTGGGGTCCTGGGGGTGAGAGAGAAGGCTCCAGTTGTTTCTTTAGGCTCCGCAAGTGATCTCAGGGTGCCTAGGACTTAGCCGGCACGGCCTTGGGTATAAAACACAAGGGGAAGAGGATTCAGAGTGGCTACAGATCACTGTCTCACAGGGAAGGCTTTGAGTTGCCCCGGGACTGGACTCCACAGAAGGCCCCGGTGTCCCCACCTGACTCTCAGCCAGGACTTAGGACTTGACAAGTCAACCTGGAGTCACTGTGTTTGGTTTTGAGCAAACGGATCCGCAGCAGGTCTTCAAACCTGGTGAAATGCACCAGCCTCTGAGTTCCCGAACTTCCACTGCCACTCTTACCCCTTCTCTGGACAAGGCCCCAGTGAAGCCTCCATAAGCCCTGTGGATGGCACCGATGGCCATCCAGCCACCGGGACCCGGCAGGGGCTGCCGTTCCTGGGGCCCTGTTCTCTCTCCGTGTCAGAGAAGAATTCTTAGACACTGAGGGGTGGTCCTCTGGCTGTCACAGCTTCTCTGAATCTGAGAAAGTAGTTTGTATTATTGTCGAAGGCCTGTCGAGCTCACCTCACAGCTGTAGGATTCCACTTTTCCCAACGGCAGAAGCAGGGAAGACAGAAAGAGAAAGGGACGCTTCTCCCTGTCCCGTGTGGGACCAAGAGTCGTTGTCAGCCCGTGTTGTCATCCAGCACACCCTGGCCACCCTCTGCGCTCCTTTCTCTGCCATAGGGCTCAGCGCCCAGCCTGTACCTCCTGGAAAATAAAGAAGAAGGCTCTGGGCCATGGGGAGCCCCCTCGTCCGGAAGTAGAAAAGGGAGGGTAGAGCTTTCCCTTTTAGTCCTCATGGGACGGAAGAATGTCCCCTCTTCCTAATAAGCGATATTGCCTAGTAAACCTGTTTTTCTTTTTGCACAGTTATGAAAAAGTAGCTGTGTGTAGGATTTAACGACTTCTGGTAGGCTGTCTAGCCTAGGTGCTCGGCCTCCTCTGGCTGGTAGGCCTAGTAGGAGTAACAGGGGCTGCGTGTCTGCAAAGTGTTTGTGTTACCTGTGGCACCTGGAACCAGCTGGCGGTGCAGGGCGGTGCTCAAGAATGACCAGCTGCTTCTTTGTTCCCCATTTCGTCATCTGTAAAGCAGAGATAATCATTCTTGCCCTAACCTGCAAGAGAGATTGCTCAGAAGATTAACTTCAGACGAGTTACACGGAAATTCCTCCCTTGAAACAAAGAATGAGAGCCAAATGGCAGGTGTGTCATTCAGTGTGGCCCACGAGGAAATCGGCTGTTCTGTTCAGAGAAAGGTCTGTGACATGCTAGGCAGGAGGCCATGCCCTGGACATGCCAGGGACCAAGGCAGGTGAACTAGCAACCAGCCTGGCTCTCATAAGAAGGAAGTGGAAGAGTGGTTAGTGGGATGGATGGGTGGCTGCTCTAGCTATCACTGATGAGCACAGCCAGAGGTGGAGGCTGGGTAGAAGGAAGATATTCCATAGCATTTGATTGGTTACCCCCTTTTAGGCCACCTTCTCTCTCACACATGTTCTTATCCTGAGCTGTCCCCTTCTCCCTTTGTACCCAGGCTCAAGAATGGGACATGGATGCCAGGCGACCCATGCCTTTTCAGTTCCCGCCCTTCCCAGATAGGGCCCCTGTCTTTCCTGACCGCATGATGCGCGAACCCCAGCTGCCCACAGCAGAGATCTCACTCTGGACCGTGGTGGCTGCCATTCAGGCTGTAGAGAGGAAGGTGGACGCCCAGGCTAGCCAGCTGCTCAACCTGGAGGGACGCACAGGAACAGCGGAGAAGAAGCTTGCGGATTGCGAGAAGACAGCCGTGGAGTTTGGGAACCACATGGAGAGCAAGTGGGCCGTGCTGGGGACCCTGCTGCAGGAGTACGGGCTGCTGCAGCGGCGCCTGGAGAACCTGGAGAACCTGCTTCGCAACCGGAACTTCTGGGTCCTACGGCTGCCCCCGGGCAGCAAGGGGGAGGCCCCCAAGGTATGTGGTGAGACAGGGGCAGGGCTAGAGGTGAGGACCGACACAGGTGAACAAACCCTTGATTTTGCCTTGTCAAGCGTAGCAGATTTCACTGGTCCATGTTGTCTCGGTGGCTTTGGGAAGCCTGGCTATGCCTTTCGCTTGGTCCCGAGTGCAGAGCTGGCCCCATTCCCCATAATGACCCTATGTGCTTATATTTTAGAGGCTTTGATCTTGCTCCAGCTGCCCTGAGTCGTTTAGCTGTCTGTAGAACTATGGTTCTTACTGCTTGGTTTTATTCACGTGACAGTGTATGTGCTTGTCTGACCTGGAGAAAGGCTCAAAGCCATGCAGCCTAAAATCGTTTTTGAGTTATGATCACTGATTTCAGGTGGGCCCTTCTGGAATTTATAGAGTTCTGTTCTATTCCCGTTTCCACCCTCCTCTTGGTTCATCAACCACTGCATTCCCAAGTCGATGGCCCTGTTGTGTATTTCTCAGAGAATGGAGGCTTCCAAAGCTGGGTATGGTGGCTCACACCGGGAATCTAAGCACTAGAGGAGCTGAGGCAGTAGGATTGCCATGTGTTCGAGGGCAGTTTGAGCTACATGGTGAGTTCTAGGCCAGCCCAGGTCTATAGAGTGAGACACTTTCTCAATAAAACAAAAACAAGGCTGGAGAGATGGCTCAATGGTTAAGAGCACTGGCTGTTCTTCCAGAGGACCTGAGTTCAATTCCCAGCACCCAGGTCAAGTGGCTCACAACTATCTCTAACTCCAGTTCCTGGGGATCCAGTGGGGATCCAGTGTCCTTCCTGGTTACCAGCATTCATTCGTGGAACACACACACTTAAAAAATGAATAAATTAAAAAACAAAGCAAAACAGGGCTGGCAATGGGTTGGTAAAGGCACTCGCAGCTAAGGCTGATGATTTAAGTTTGATCCAGGGGACCTAGACAGAAGAAGTGTAGACAAATTTCTAAATGGTCTTATTAAATAAAAAACATGGAGTCAGGTACAGGGGTTAAAGCCTGAGAGATCAGAGGAATAGGAACAGCCACAAGCTAACCTCGCCTCACCAACACCTCAGCTTCCAAAAGCGCCTTACTTCCTGTCTACCCACGCCTATATGCCTTGCTGTTCTGCTGTCTGATTTGCTCTCTCTGCCCAGCTACATCACTTCCTCTTCCTGCCCAGCTCTGTCACTTCCTGTCTGTCTGTACAGACCTTCAGACCTCCATGGTTAACTAGTGTTGGAATTTAGGGCATGTGCCACCACATCTGGCTCTGTTTCCAGTGTGGCCTTGAACTCACAGAGATCCAGACAGATCCCTGCTTGCCAAATGGTAGGATTAAAGGCATGTGCTACCATTGCCTGACTTCTTCGTTTACTTATAAATAGCTGTTTTTTTCCTCTGATCTCCAGGCAAGCTTTATTTATTAAAGCACAAATAAAATATCACCACATTTCAGCACAAGTAAAATATCACCACATAGGAGGAGAGAACTGACTCCCATAAGTTGTCCTGTTACATGCGTGCTCATGCAAGGAAATGCAGCAAACAAACAAAAAAGATGCTTCCATAAATAGAAGTATAGAAGTTCATTCCTTGGTCTGTCATCTTGGTGTACATGGATTCTGCCTCCACCTGCCTCTGTGGCTCTGTGTCCACCCCTACCCTTCCTTCTACATCATCAGCTGTCTCCTCTATCTTAAAATCATCTTCACCATCATGCGAACACTGTACTCCTATTTGGACCCTACACCTCCTTCTGCCTCATTCTCCTTCTCCTTATCATCAGAAAAATACCTTGAAAGAGTTCTCTGTATTTGTTACATCCAATACCTCCCTACCATTTTATTACAGGCTCTTCAAATATGTACCAAAGCAGATAGAACATTGTGATGGCCCCCTGAGTGTCCATCATGAGCTTCAGCATTCAAACTCTCGGCTGAGCTTGGTTTTTCTACTCATTTCCCAACTCATGTTTTATTTTGAAGCTAATCCTAGGCATCAGTGATTTTATTTATACCGGCCATCGTGGTGCGTGCATTTAACCCCAGCCTCTGTGGGGCAGAGGCAGGCAAATCTCTGTGAGTAGGAGATCAATCTAGTCTCCATAGTGAGTTCTAGGTCAGCCAGGGCTACAAAGTGAGACCCTGTCTTTCATCATCATCATCTTCATCATCATCATCATCATCATCATCATCTTACTCATAAATATTTCAGTATTCACTCTAAAATGTAAGGACTCGTTTTAGAGTATGACAAATTCCATATTACCCTGCCTCCATCACCTCCACCTCGATGTTCAGATTTTCAGTGGATTCTTTTTCTCCATTTCTTTGTTTGAATCAAAATTTTAAGAGTCATACATGATTGGATGACAGTTTTCAGGACTTGGGTCTCTCTTTGTAGTGTGGGTTCTGGGGTTGAACTGCTTGTGAGGCATACTTTTTTTTTTTCTTTTCCAAGACAGGGTTTCTCTGTGTAACAGCGCTTGCTGTCCTGGAACTGCTCTATAGACCAGGCTGGCCTCAAACTCACAGAGATCCTCCTGCCTCTGCCTCCCAAGTGCTGGGATTAAAGGGGTGCGCTACCACCAGGCATGAGGCACAAATTTTTATCTGCTAAGTCATGTTGCTGGCCTAGGACTTTTTGAAATCTGTAGGCTCTTCCTTCATTTCTTATCCTTCCATGTACTCCATGTAGTGGAGGGACTGGGCTGTCTGGGTCCTTTGTTCTCATTGAACAGGTTCATCTGTTCTCAGTATTCCAGTACATTGGTAACTGGATAACTCTCTCCACAACCAACTCCAATCAGACTTTTTATCCCCTTTCTCTCCTGTTGGTCTTCCTAAGACCTTCATTATGTCCTCAGTATAAGACCATTAGTCCGGTCTCTGTCATCATCCTCTTAATCCCATTACCAGTAGCAGGTGGCTGCTCCTTCCTTGAAACATCTTTCATGTGGCTTCTAGGATGCCTCTCTGTCTTCATTCTCTGTCTCGCTAGCTACTGGTCCTCAGTCTGCCTTGCTGGCTTGGCTTCCTCTTTTCATCTTCTGAGTGTTTGTGGAGTGGTCCTGGCTCAGTATCAGCATTGGTGCTCATTCGTACCCCTTCACTCATAACTTCATCTGGACCATGGTTTTAACTGCAGTCTATTTGCTTGTGACTCTCAGATGCACCCTTTCCCATATATCCCACTCATATTTTCTTCTTGGATGTCAGATTCACATTTCTTCCTGTTAACTCAGCATCCTGGATTTAATATGACCAGACTAAACTGTGGGTCTTTTGCCTGAAGCCTGTTTTGTCCAAAGTCACCCTCATCTTTGCTGGTGATAGTTCCATCCTTTCAGCCTTCAGATCAAAGCCCTAGGATGCTGCTCAGCTGCTGTCTTTCTCACATTCCTCCTCTGGTACACCTCCATAGTCTGACCGGGCCCGTCACCTGCTTTAAGCCAGTCTCGTTTTACCTTTTAATTGTCTCAATCTCTTGACCCATCTCCTGTTCTCCATCCTTGTTTAAGTCCCATACTACAGTATATTCCTAAAAGAATAGCCACAGTGATCCCATTCACATACCTCATTCATGGGCTAAAGCTGTGGCTCACCTGGTAGAGTGCTTGCCTAACATGCACGGACTGATCCCTAGCACCTCATAAACTCCGGCATGGCAGCACATGCCTGTAATCACAGCACTTGGAGGTGGAAGCAGGAGGGTCTGAATTGGAGGATCATCCTAGGCTACACAGCAAATTCAAGGTCACCCCAGGGATATATGAGACCCTGTCTTTAAAAAAAAAAAGTGTCATACTATACCCATCTAATGGCTTCTCATCTTTTTCTTTTTTAAATGTAGTTTACATGCAATCTTTGGCTTCATTTTTTAAATTACATTTAATTTAGGGGGATGAAGGGTATGTACCACAGCATGTCTGTGGAGATCAGAGGACAACCTGTCGGAGATGATTCTGACCTTCTACATTGTGGGTCCCAGGGATGGAACTCAGGTTGTCAGGGTTGCTGGCAGGTGCCTCCACACACAGCCATCAAACCTGTCCCTGGCTTCCCATCTCATTCCAAATAAACATCCAAGTTTGCTACCTTCTTGACCTCATCCCCACCACACTCCCTCTTGCCTAGTACCTGCCAGACGTCTGGCCTCCTGCTGTTCTCCAGCATCATAAGATGTTCCTACCACAGGGACATTCCTCCAGGAAGCTCCTTCTCTGATTATCTGCTTCTCTAGTCAGTCCCCCAATTCCACTGGAGTTTGCTTAGCTGTTACTTAATCAGTGTGCCCTTCCATGGTCACCTGATTACCAAGGAATCAAGCCCCAAGTGAGTGTGGTAGCACATGTCTGGAATACCAGCATTTGGAAAGCAGGAAGATTTTGAGTTTGCAGCCAGCCTGGGATATGTATTGAGTTCAAAGCCAACAAGACCCTGTCCAAATGGACAAATAAGCAACAGCGAGTACCAAGTTCTTCCTGAGTCTTGAATATTTACTTTTTTTTTCTTTTGGTTAGCTTTCCCTACTCAGAATGTAAATTATTGGTTCATGACTGTGCCTTGTGTTTATAGTGGCAATCAGCTTAGAGATGGCATGTGGAACACATTTACTTAGTCTTTCACTGAAGAGCTCAGAGCTCCTGGGAAGGGACCATGTCTCAGTATGTCTTTGTATCCAATGGGACGCCCAGTCTATTGACATTACCAGAAGAGCTGCCCGACATCTGTGTATCTAGGCTGTAAGAAATTGAGTTGTAATAGCCCTAAGTGGATCTTGCGTCAACTGTGATTTTTGTATATATTGCCTGAGTAGCATGATCAGCATCCAGTCACATGTGTCCCTTTGCTTTTGTCTGTACTGTGTGCCTTAACATGTGCAGTATCCTTACCTCCTGCCACTTGTTCTGATGGTTGGATGAAGCGGTAGGAGTCTCACGTTGCCCCGTGCCATTGCATGATAACGGAATCAGCAGGCCTGGGTTTGCATTCACTGTGCTGCCTGCTGCCTTTCCTCCTATTGGGCAAGTGTATTTTTGTTGTCTCTGAGCCTCTTCAGTTTCTCCTTAAAGACCTGTAAGTAGTGAAGCAAATTCCTAGTTGGTCCCTTTGAGCTTCATTTATAACATGAAGATGACATTGTAATTGCTTTTTGGAGTTACGAGAAGTCATTGATTTTGTTTATGGGAAAACACTATGTAGTCATTGTTAGTTATTTGTTGACAGGCAGCAAATGACCCCAAAATGGTAGCCTAAAAAATAAATCATCTGATAGTTTCTGTGAGTGAGGAATCAGGAACAGCTTGGGTGGTTCTACTCAGTCAGTCCTGTGAGGTGTCAGTGTGGCCTTTGACTGGTAATGCTGTCATTTGAAGGTTGACTACAACTCCCTTACCTGGTTGATTGGACCTCCTCAAGACTGCTTGAACCTACTTATAACATAGAAGCTACCTCCCTGTTTCCTAGAACGAGGGGTTCAAAGGGAGAGACTAGGATGGGTGTTGTGTATTCTATGCTATACAGTTTTACTTCATTTGCTAGAAGTGAGTTACTAAATCCTGCCTGCACTCAGGAGATGGAGAATTAGGCTCTTCCAACTTGAAGGGTGTAAAAATGTTTATTGAGATAGCTCAGTCAGTAACATGCTTGCCAGACAAGCATAAAGACCTGAGTTTGATTCCCAGAACCCATGAAAAATAGCCAGGCATGTTGGTGTATGCTTGGAATCACATGCTAGTGAGGTAGAGACAGAAGGATCCTGTGGGCTTGATGGCCAGCTAGTCTAGCCTAATTGATGAGCTCCAAGCCATTGAAAGCCTGTCACAAAGGAGGTGGATACCCAGACATAACACGTATACCCATATGTGAATCTGCACACACACATGAACACATATGCACAAAAAGAAATCACAGGCGTGTTTTATAACCACTACAACTCTAGAGTTCCAGGAGAGTGTTCATGAATGTTGCTTACCACAGTTAATGGCTCACTGTATGTTCTTGGGTGTTCAAGATGCATTCTCTTTATCTGTTAGGTCTAGGAAGGATATTCTCTCTGACCCTTTAGGCTTATCGTGTCTCCTGATGGATTCCTAACTAATTCATGGGTAGTCTTTCCTGTCTGAAGCTGGTCTGCAGACTCCCTTCTATCTCAGACCATGTCTTAGATTTCTATATTCTGCCACCATGAAGCTTTTAAAGAGGGATGTCTGTTTCCAACTGTTTAGAAATTATTCTGAAATTTTTACTCTCCAAAGCAATGGTAAAATAAAGTGAAGAATCAGCTGTACTGCAGATGGCGAACACACCTTGGATATATTTAGTGTTAGGTACTCACAGGTGATTGAAGAAGTGACTTAGAAGACTGTAGAACTTTGAAGGGGACAAGGGAAGCCATCCTCAGAGAGGTAACAGTTACAATAAAAACAATGGAAAGGAAAAAAAAAAACAATGGAAAGGAGAAGAAACAGCAAAGGATAACAGCAGAGCTTCGTCTAAGGAGATGAAGGAGAAACAGCAGAGCGGACAGGAACCAGCTGAGTGACAGGCGACACAGTCACAGGACCCCAAAAGGAAGCTCCAGAACGGTGGTCTGGCCTAGCAAAGGGAGAATTTAGCAGCAAGTCATGGGTGAATTTCAGGATATAGTTCGGTTTTAGAGAATAGATGTTAGATTTTAGGGAGCTAAAATGTATATGGATTTTGAAAAAGAAAAAAAAACAAAAAGACTTTTCTTAGGATATCCCAAGTAAAGAGCAGGAGCAGAGTGAACTGAGATAGCAGAGATCCGCCTGCCTCTGCCTCCCGAGTGCTGGGATTAAAGGCGTGCGCCACCACCGCCCGGCTGGGTTTTATATATATATATATATATATATATATATATATATATATTTTATGTATGTATCTATGTATCTACCAATCATTTATTTACTTATTTTGTGTGTCTCCCCCCCCCCCCCCGTAACACAGGTGTCGAGGCAGGAATAAGTTCTCTCCCTCCACCATGTGGGTTTGGGGAATCAAACTGAAGTCGTCATACTTGGTGGCAAGTGTCCTTACCCACTAAGCCATCTTCCAGTCTGAGTGAATGACGATTTTTCTTAGGTTGAAATGACCCTCAGGAGAAAGAGCCAGTGAGAGGGAGAAACCAGAGATGTGAAAGAGTCAACACTGTTTGGATTAACTTTTGCGGATGGGAGGCGGAGGAGAAACATAGAATGGATATGGCAGGTTTGACTTAGCAAGAAGAAAAGGGCAAAGAAGGAGCTCCCTAACACCAGCCCGGGGTCAGGGAGAGGTGGGAGAAGATGCCGGGAGGCCAGACAGGGCTTGGGGAGTGAGGTTTGCAGTAAACTCCCTGGGGAACATGACAAGGTGTCAACAGGAGGTCAACACAGGGCTTCCAAAGCAGCCCTGGGGCAGCTGGCATGAGCAGATGTTGATTGCAGAATTCCTTGGTTTCATCTAGCAACTGGGAAATAAAATGGAGAAAGGGGGTTGCATGTTTCCCCAGATTGGTAGGAGTTCTTGTTCTAATTCTAGTGATGGACAGGGAGCTGTGGCCCCTGCACACAGTTGTGCATATCACACCTGCATGGGGTCCCCTGCAGTTTCATGCACCTGCTTGTGGACTGGCAGGCCTCGCACCCAGCAGCTTTGCACCTGGCCCTGCTGGCTCTTCGTCATTCACACCAGCGTCCCACTCAGCCAGCTTTGTCCCTGAATATGCAGGCATGTAGGGCTGGGTGGATTTCAGAGTGAGAGTCCGAAGCTGGTTCAGTAGGGATGTGAGAGGGGTAGCGGGGAAGCCTGTGTGGTCAGAGAGGGAAGTTCTGGGATTAGTTAATGGAAGTGAAACAACTTGGTTCAGAGCGAGGCAGTGCTGGTGGAGGCTGAAATGAGTATGGACGAGGCTCCCGGTCAGAATGAAACAGCAGCTCTCTACAACAGATCAGAGTACCGGGACTGACAGTGACTGACTGATCGTAGCCACAGCTACAGCAGGACTTCCTCATAAGACAGTGCAGCATCCTGGAGCTGAGGCACATGCCTTTGTCCGTTTGGGTGACAAGATTTAACTTTGGGGGGCTGGAAAGATGGCTCAGTGGTTAAGAGCACTGCCTGTTCTTCTAGAGGGCCCAGGTTTGATTCCCAGCACCCAAGTGGAGACTCACAACCACTGTAACTCTAGTTCCAGAGGATCTAGCCCCTCACCTGGCCTCTGCAAGCCTATGGTGTACAGACATTCGTGCAGACAAAACACTCATAAAGTAAAAATGATTAAATCTTGAAAAAAAAATTAACTGTGTACACACAGGTGATCCGACCTGAAATACAGGTTTTGTTACTCAGTTTTACAGTTCTTGGCTTCCTGATTCCCACACCTGGTATCTCTCATATCCCTGTTACCCTGAACTCCCAAAGACGCACACTGACTATGGCTTTGCCTTCAGTGTCTAATTGTCTGAAATAGCAAAGGACAGGCGTAAGTACTTAAAAACAGAAAAGAGAGCCCAGAGATGGCTCAGCAGGTAGGGGCTCCTGCTACTGAGACTGACAACCTGGATCCTGGTGGAATATGAGAACCAGCTCCTGCAAGTTGTCCTCTGACCTCTGCATGTGTGCCATTACGTAGATGCTTTTACACGCATGACAGTACACAGTAAATAAATAAAAGGGCAGCACTGACAGCATTGCTGTTGGCTACCTAGGAAGGCCAGCTCCAGGGGATTCTGCATCCATAGGACTGAATGGATGGGACCCGGGATGTAGAAATTGGGGTGCTGGGAACAGAGGCCACGCTCTGAGATAGGTTGGCTCTGTGGCCCCAGGAGAGGGGGTTGAGGTACAGCAGCAGGCTGCTTACTAAAACCCTTGTTGGCCCAGGTCCCAGTGACCTTCGTGGACATTGCTGTCTACTTCTCTGAGGATGAGTGGAAGAACTTGGACGAATGGCAGAAGGAGCTCTACAGCAATCTGGTGAAGGAGAACTACAAGACCCTCATGTCCCTGGGTAAGGCTACCAACCCTCTGCCGGCGAGAGCGCTGCTCAGGGCTTCAAGATGTAAAGGTGTTGCTGAAAGTTTTCCTGTGTCCCGCCTGGTCCGCAGCCACTCAGACCCAAATAAACACACAGAGGCTTATATTAATTAAAACCGCTTGGCCATTAGCTCAGGCTTGTTACTGACTAGCTCTTACACTTAAACTCAGTCCATTTCTGTTAATCCATATGTTGCCACATGTTCCGTGGCTTTACCTGTGTATCATTACATGCTGCTCCCTGGACGACGGGTTGGCGTCTTCTGATGCAGCCTTCCTCTTCCCAGAATTCTCCTTGTTTGCTTCTCCCACCTATACTTCCTGCCTGGCTACTGGCCAATCAGCGTTTTATTAAACCAGTGTACAAAAGCAATATCCCATAGCATAAAGGAGCCTAATGGAGAGGAATACGGATCTTTTTATGATAAGATGAAAATTAATAGGCTGACAGCTGAGCCTGTCACTGTGGTAGTATATGTGACACTACTGTTACTCTAGAATACCATAAAATAGCAAGCTTATACCTCCTTGTGTTGTATCCTAGCAGCCTGGGGTCAGTCACGGGCTGTGTGCTCTTGACTTTTGGAAACCAGTTCTTTCTACATTAGAAGCCTCGGATCCTGTTGGCTTGCTGTCAGGGTTCCTTCCTTACTTAATGACTACCATGCTGAGGAACATTGGTACCAGAGAGCCCGGCTGCATCACCTCAATCTGAATTCACTAGTCAACTTCACATAACCCTCTTTCCCGCTTTCTCTCCATCTCACAGACACGGATGGCCCGGTGTCCAAGCCTGATGCTCCAGTCCAGGCAGAACCCAGGGAAGAGCCTTGTGTGTGGGAGCAGCAGCATCCTGAAGAGAGAGAAATCCCAGTGGCTGCAGACACAGGTAATGGCTGTTGAGCTCGGGGTGGGAATAAGGAGGAGCAGGAGAGGAGAGCTGGGCACCCTGCACTCACACAAGGAGTCGACTCTGTGTGGGTCAGGAGAGAACAGCTCTTAATGCTCCTGGGACCCACTGCTGCCACAATTGTAATATGATCACAGGTCATGCCCTCAGGTCCTAAAACCATACCATACTTATCGGCCTTTGATAGCTCTGAACTTACAGCCAGGGAAGAGACGGGACATGGTATACACCTTTAATCCTAATGCTCAAGAGGCGTAAGAGGCAAGTTGATTTCTGTGAGTATGAGGCTAGCCTGGTCTATGTAGAGAATTCAAGGCCAGCAAGGGTAGCATATTGAGACCCTATCTCAAAAAATAAAATCCAAGTAAGGAAGGGCTTGAGCTGAGACACCTCCCAGACATGATGGGGTGCATGAGGTCTTAGGTCTAGGAACAGCTAAAGGGCCCGGGCCCAGGCTCAGGGAAACTGACAGATGCGGTGGAAGTCTGCATGAGAAGTGTGGTTCTGCCTGGCCAGTTGTTCACTGCCTGGGTGTAATCCATACATCATAGCCCATTCTTGCTTTGATACACACACCTCCCAACTCACCCCAGGTCTCTTCCCTCACCCATAAAGAAACCATTAGTCCTAAGAATATCATAGTTGGCAGCTTTTACTGGGATGGAAGACACTAGGGTCTAGCCTAAGCTCTGCCTTGGAGGACTTTCCTGGGTCCCTCTGCTTCCTGAACAGTGTTGGGCAAGGTGTGGAGTAATGCTGTACTGGTGTCTTCTGCTTCACTTATGAACTCACACCCATTGTCTCTCGCCCCCCCCCCCCGCCCCCCCACTGTCTTTTAATAATATTTTCATGGGAATGTCCAGCACTATCCTTTCTCCTTTTAGATCTTTAGTTTTATTATAGTTTATTGGTCATAAAATTCTCCCTTTTAAATTATTAACTTGGGGCTAGAGAGATGGCTCAGTGGTTAAGAGCTCTGGCTGCGCTTCCAGAGGTCCTGGGTTCTATTCCCAGCACCCACATGGTGGCTCACATCTATAGTGGGATCCGATGCCCTCTTCTGGTATAAAGGCATACATGCAGATTGAGACTCCCCCACACCATTCGCGGCTACTCCCCATTTCCCTTTCCTGCAGTCCCAGCAAGGTAGGCCTGCCTCTGTCTCTGTGGATTTCACATGATAGATGTTTCATTTCAGTGCCTTTCCCAAGCTTCATCAAGCACCGCAGATATTCTTTGGCAGCTGTGGTTACAGATTCTAATATTGTATGGCAGATTTTTACATTTTGGGCCCTGTGAACTCAGCAGTTTCACTGAGTTATCAAACTATGAGTCACAAAACAAAGCCAGGACCACTGCCCCCACTTTAGATGAAATGGGCAGACTGAAATTCAGAGAGGTTTCATGGAGCAGGATGGTGGTGGAGTCGAAACCAGGGTCACCCTCTTTAGGTCCTCACCCAGTCTCTCCTGTTGCCTAAGCTGTCTTCCACCAAGAGCTATTACATTGTCCTACAACGCTCCAGAAGAAAATGCCCTGTTGGTCACAAAGCATATTCTGTGAAAAATATAGGTTGTTGGCTTTCATGCTTAAGGATACTTTGTATTCACCCAGCATCAGGATTTGGTTGTGCCTCTGCCCAGCCTGATTGCTCCATAGAGCAATATGTTTGTGTCTGGCCACTAGTGTAAAACAAAAAAACAAGGGTAAGTGACTTCTGCACAAACGTGCTCCATGTTCTGGTCAGCCCCACCAGTTATATGCTACGCCGTCTCCAAAGCTTCTCCTTGGCTTCTCATACTTCATGCTGCTGTTAGCCTAGTCTTTCTTCTTTGAGACATGGTCTTACTCTGAGCCTAACCTGGATTAGAACTCATTATGTAGCTCAAACTGACCTCCAACTCCTGGTGATCCTCCTGCCTCAGCCTCTTGACTGCCAGGATTGCATCCATGAGCCATCATCATATCCTTTTTCTTATCCCTTTTTCTTGAATATTCTCACTTCTCTGCTGCTGGGACTTTCTGCTCCACAGGGTCCCACATGACTCCAGCAGGGAGCCAAGATTCTTGTACTGTCCCCTGGGAGTGCCGACAACCATGAGTCTGACCGCGGGACATCTCGGTGACCAACATACTGGTAGAAGGTTCTCAGAAGTGTGATTCTCTCTCCCCAGGAACAGAACCCCTGGTGCCTGCACAGGACATGTCCTCCCAGGTGAAGCGAGAGGAAGCCTTGTGTGCCCGGGCCCAGAGGGGCCTGGAAGAAAGAGCCATCCCCACAGAATCCATCACTGGTAAGTGAGCCAAATCGCCGCTTGGCCCAGGAGTGGTGAGGCGAGCGATGGTCTGAGGCCCCGGAGGGTGTCAGGCTGCAGGGCCATGCTAGCAAAGGAAGAGCTATGAGTGCAGAGCTGGGCTGAGACAAGGCTCCTGCAGAGCACAGACTCGGTGTTCAGCACTGAGGGTCTAGAGCCACATTCAGCTTTGCTTGTTTGGTTTTTTTCTCCGTTGCCTAGTAAGTTTCCGATTGTCCCTCTGTCCCTATAAAAACAGCTTAGTACAAGCACTTTATTGGGCTCTGTGGGTGGCAGAAGATAAAAGCCATAAGATCTGTTCCTGGACCCAAAGATACATTACACAAATATTTATGGGCTGCCACTTCCAGGCCAGGCACCCCGTTGCTGCGTGCCATGGGGAGCTGCTCCTCCATGGTGTTTTAGCTGGGCTGTATTTAGATGAGAATCTGCTGTGGCAGGTGTGTGCATGAGGCCCAGTTCTCCAATGGTTTGTGTGTGTGCAGTGAGATCATGTACATGTACATATGGAGAGGGATTTGTTTAACTGGCTAATGTAGTGGCTGACAGATCCAAAATTTGCTAGCAAGTAGGCTAACCGGATGGGATCTGGGAAGACTGGTGTTGCAGCTCCATTCACAAGATTATCTGCTGACAGAATCCCTTCTTCCCTGGGTTGGCCATCTTTTTTATTAAGACCTTCACCAGGTTGGATGAGGCCCATCCCCATTATAGTGGATCATCTGCTTTATTTAGTCTACTGACTTAAATGTTAATCTCACCTGAAAAAACAAATACCTTCATAATAAAATCCAGAATGATGTTTGACCAGATATCTGAGTATTGTTGCCAAGTTGACACTAAAAGTAGCTACCATATGCTACTAGGGAATGCTCCATCCCTCCTCCAGGAAAGCCTGAGACACACAGGCAAGTGATAGCAGCTGAAGGGCAGGATCTGTGCCTTCTCACTGGTTGTCAATGGGTTCCTTAAATGTATCAAGTCTCTAGAAACCATTAAGAGATAAAAAAAAAAAAAAATGGCTATGTAAAGGATAAATTGGGTTTAAGAAAAGAAAGAAAGAAAAAAATTTTTGATACAGAGACTAATGTAGCCAAGGCTAGCCTCAAACTTCCTATGTAGTCAGGGGTGACCCTGAACTTCTGATCCTCCTGCCTCCACCTTCCAAGTGTGGGGGTTACAGGTGTTAAATACCAGTTAGTAGCCTGTGAAAAAAGATGTTTGTCTTAGAAAAGTTCCATTCAGATACTGATGAAAGGCTTCCTGGGGAGGGCTGTATTCCTGGAAAGTGCCTGCATGAGGTCCCCTTCTGTGGAGGTCATAGCACCAGAGGAGAGAACTCATCCTGGTTAGTTAAGTCTCTGGAGACATTCTATATCCTGTTCACTGCCCTGGGACATCCACTGACCTTCAGCCACAGCTCCATTCATTATGGCCAGAGTGGGTGCAACCTTTAGTTAATTGGGATAATTTATTTATTCTTATCCTTGACTTTTAGGGAAAACAAATAATTGCATGAAATCAGAGTCACTACAAACACAGACTGGTGGGAATTCCCTCCTCTCTAATACCTTTGCCTTTGTTCTCCTGAGTAGACTCCCCAATCTCCGCCCAGGACCTCTTGTCCCGGATTAAGCAAGAGGAACAGCAGTGTGTGTGGGACCAGCAGGACTTGGCAGAGAGAGATATTCCCACAGATCCCAACTCAGGTGAGAGAGATGTCAGAGTGAATTACTGAATTTGGCATTCATTGTGTCCATGGAACTGATACAAAAATTACCTTAGCATTGCTTTTTGAAGATTCAAAACAAAAGTCTTCTAAAAGCTATGTGTATTTATGTATCAAAGAGCAAGTATTTTCTCAAATTTCTTTTCCTTTTTTTTTTTCCCAGTACCTATTTTATTTTTACTTATTTGTATGTGGGTGCCTACAGAGGCCAGATTCCCTGGGGCTTGAGTACAGAAAGTTATGAGCTGCCATGTGGGTGCTGGGAACTGAACTTGGGTCCTCTGCAAGAGCAGCAAGTGCTCTTAATCACAGGGCCATCCCTCCAGTCCCTTTCTGGAATTTCATTTGTATCTCCCCTGAAAATTTGGGGAGGTTCCAGCTGTTTAGGGAAACTCACCCCTCTGGGCTGGGGATGGTTTATGTGAGTTTGTAGAGCGGGGAGGTCTCATTCTACCCTCTGTATCTGGGAGAGAGGATGGCAAATTGAGCCTAGGAGTCCATTGAGGGGACCAGGCAGATGGAAGCACAGTCCCCTCAGAGTCCCCAGGTCTTGCCATGGGCTTGTCAGTGGCTGCTGCTTCTGCACTACTGGTCAGACCAGCCAGCTGTGACTCTTCCGGCCTTCAAAGCTGAGCTTCCCTCCAGCATAGCCTGGCCTCGTAGTCTCTCTGGAGTTCAGTGGATAGTGGATGCTCAGAGAAAATGAATGAAGTCTTAAGATTGCCTTTTTTCCTGACAACAGAATCTCTCATCTCAGCACATGACATTTTGTCCTGGATCAAGCAGGAAGAGCAGCCGTATCCATGGGGCCCACGTGACTCAATGGAAGGAGAGCTTGGACTAGACTCCGGCCCAAGTGAGTAATATGTGCCTCTTCTAGAAGCCTGGGGTCCTTGGTTCAGAGCAGCTGAAGCCTGCAGTAGAGCTGCTTTCCTCAGTCTACTCCCTTGTAAGGTGATTTTGCTGGTCACAGCCTTTTAGAGTCTGGGGGAACTGTCACTGGATGGGAGAGGTGTGAGTCCTCGTTTGAAGTGAATTTAGAGCAGTCTTGTTTGCAACCTCTTGGCAAACTAGGATGATGTAGGGAGAACCAGAAGATTGGCCACGGCATTGGAAGAAATGACAGCAGCAGCCACCTCAGTAGCCCCTAGCCACCATTTCTAGATTTGGCATTTTTAATTTACTTAAATTTTATGTTTTAGAGTGTTTTGGGCAAAGGCTCATGTAGCCAAGGATGGCCTTGGACTCCAGGTTCTCCTGTTTCCACCTCTTCAGTGCTGGGATTGTAGGCCTTTGACCACAAACCTGGTTTTATGTGGTTCTGGGGATCAAACCCACGGCTTTAAACATACTAGGGCAGGCACTCTAACAACGGAGGCACATTCCTGGCCTTTAGGTCCGGCCTGGAGGCATAGGAAGTAGCTCAGCAGGTATTGCCAGGAAGGTCTGCTCAGCCCTTGTCCTTGGCCCCACCGCTCCTTTCTCCAGGTGGGCCTGAAGGAGCCTTTCCTTGGGTCTGTGCAGGCGTGGCAACAGACCTGGGAAAACCCCCAGAAAACTTGCTATGCTTTGCAAAGGGCTATTTCCTACTTTAGTTTGGATATGATAACTCACAGAACATTTTGAGTCAGGGTATTTTATTTGGGGGACATCTTTGAGCCCTAGAATTTGGGAGGCAATGCCCAAAGTTGCAGAGGCGTGAGGATCTAGAAATGTTTGTCCCCTCGGTTACTACAGCCTTTTTGCAAGGCTTCTCTCCTTCTCCTGGAGGGAACCTGCCTCCTGCTTATTAACACTAGAATTTGGAACCAGCATCTCACCTGTGCTCCTTTGGGGTTAAGACGGCTCTAGTACAGCAGATCTTTGCTGTCCAGCACCCTCAGCAAGTGGCTCCCAATCCCTTGTAATTCCAGCTCCAGAGGCTCTATCACCTTAGCCTCCATGGGCATTGCACTCATGTGTACACACCCACACACAGATACAAATAAGTAAAATGAGATCTCTAAAACCTTTGGATTGATTTATTTTAGTTTATGTGTATAGTGTTGTCCACATGTATGTCTATGTACCATTTAAATGTGGATGTCATTGGATCCCCTGGAGCTGGAGTTATAGACAATTGTGAGCTACCAGGTGGGTGCTGGGAATTGACTTTGGGTCCTCTGCAAGAGCAGGTGTTCTTAACCACCGAGGCATCTCTTCAGCCCCATAGATAAATCTTTTTTTTGTTTAATGGCAGCCTTAGTACAGTGGTTTCCAGGAAGAGCTAGATGGACTAGATGGATGCTTTGGAAGATGTGGTGTTATGTGTAAGAATCTTCTGGAAAGGGATTGGCAGGAAAGAGGGTGGCAGAGGCAGAGGGTAAGATGCAGGGACAGGTACTAGCTGGCCGGCCAGCCTCCTTCCCAAGTCCTAGCCATGCACAAGAGAGAGTGCACGCACAGGGTGTCCTTGTTGGACTCAAGGTCAGACTTCAGCCCAGCTGGATGTGGTATTTCAGTGAAAGAGGCTCCTTATTTTATGTATTAAGTGTGAATTGAGACTGTAGGGAAAGATTGGAAATTTAGTTCGCTAAAAACTACTGTGAGTGAGACTCTATTAGGCAGGTTTGGGTAGAATTTTGGAGTCCATTGGCTACTATTTGCTTCCAGAGGAAGCTGAGTTAGGCGCTCTCTACCCAGATGCCCTGTGTTTTGAAGGCACTCATGAAATTTCCATGTTAACCACTGCCTTGGGTCAAAACAGCGGGCCCCACCTTTTCTAGTTTCTGTGTATTGAACAGTAATTTACTAGTGCCTACTCAGTGCTCTGCGGTGTTGTAAATACAAAGGACAGGCGGGGAAGGAAGACCTTTTCCTCTGTGGGAAGGAGAAGGGCAATAAACAGGCCAACAAGCAATCACATTAAGTAAAGGCAGAGTGTGGCCAGTGTGTCAAGATGCCAGATCAGGAAGAAGAGAGCAAGCAGGAGGGCTTAGGGCAAAAGAACCAGGAGAAGCCTCCTGGGAAAGGGATAGCTGAATGTGCTCTAGACCCCCGAAAAGAGGAGACACGGGCCTATCTGGAATAGTACACTAGAGGGAAGTGCAAGGACAAGGCCAGGGAGGCTTTAGGAGCTTTTAGGAGCTGGGGCAGTGGGTAGAGCTCCTATATCGTGTGTGTGTGTGTGTGTGTGTGTGTGTGTGTGTGTGTGTGTGTGTGTGTGTGGTGTGTGTGTGTGTGTGTGTGTGTGTGTGTGTGTGTGTGTGTGTGTTCAAAGAACAATTTGTTGGAGTCAGTTCTCTCCTTCCACCATGTGGGTTCTAGAGATCACACTCAGGTCATCAGGCAAGAATTGAGTGCCTTTTCCTACTAAGCTATCATGCCAGCCCTGGACTGTATTCTAATAAGGAAGGAGCCTAGCAGAGGGAGTTCAATAGGGTAATGTAATAAGATCTAATTGCCTTACTCTCAAGTGTGCCTGGCCATTTTTTTCTTTTATGTGTTGGATTGTTTTATCTGCATGCATGTATGTGCACTGTATGTATGTTTGGTGCCTGAGGCCAGAAGATGGTATTGCATCCTCTGGAACTGGCATTATGGACAGTTGTAAGCTGCCATGGAGGGGCCATGCTGGGAATTGAACCCAGATCCTCTTCAACAGTCCTGTCCAGCCCCCTGGTTTCCATTTTTACAAGGTCAGTTCAGAAATGGGAATGGTGGGTTTAGAGCTAGATGGGAAGCTGAGGAAATGTTTGTAAGTTGGTAAGTTTGCAATAAGCCAAGTGAAGTCAGAGTAGGCACAGTAGCAGTACTCGTGGAGAGAAGGGACATGTGTGAAGGAGCCATTAGGAATGCTTCAGTGCATGGCAGGACGGTTTGCTGAAATGCTCAGCCTGGGGAACAGGCAAGTAGCCATGGAAACAGAGTGTTCTGCATTTGACTATTCATACCTTAGGCGACTTTCAAGTAGTGAGCTGAGTAGATGAGTATAGGAGTCTGGAGTTCAAGAGAAAGTTTAGAGCTGAGTAGGTTGAATGACTTCAGACACCATCGACCTGGTGGAGTCTAACATGGCACTCACTTCAGATACGAGTATCCAGTTTGTGAGGCTCAGGCCACCTCTACCTAGGGCTCCAAATTCTGGGATTCCTGCTGCCTCTCAAGTTCAAACACATGCTAGAATTCCCTGCAAAATTCAAGGATGCGCTGTGTTTAGAGTTGCAGTTTTATTTTAGCCAATTGATTCAAATCAGAACCAGCAGAAGGAAGATGTCTGGATAGGTCTGGGTGGGTCCTTTCCCAGTGGAGTCAGGATATTCCATGCTTCCAACACATTGATATGTGGCAGTATGCAGAGTACTGCCACCCAGTGAAGCTTCCCTAAGCTTCAGTGTCCAGAGTTTGACTGTGACTGACTGACTGAATCAACGCCATGAGATCCAACTCATTCTCTTTCATCCCCTCCCTCGAAGTTGAGTGACAAATCCCAACTTTAATTTTGAGTTGATCTTTCTGGCATGGCCAGCCCCATCCTGAGTCATCTTATTAGTGACAACTGTCTGGGGTACACACTGAGCCCATTAACGTACTCCATCAGTGCCCACTTGGAGCAATAAGGACACTTCTGTTAATAATTTAGAAACCTCCAAGGACTTAGAGGCTACATTCCCAGGACCAGGATCAAAGAATCAAATAATTACATTAGTTGTTTCAAGGCTTGTGGGCTGTGTGAGCCCTTAAACCACACAGACGACAGTGAAGGCAAGAAATCTCAGTAGAGACCAAAACATGGCCTCACTGAGGCTAGGAAGAAAATAATCTCTTGGATGGAAGGGAGAGAAAAGTTATGTCAGTCTCCCAAGAGAGAGTGAATATGCTTGGCAGGGAAGAGGCTATTGGATTATTCACGACCCTGAGGCTGGAGATTATTCATGACCTTCACAAAAGCTGTTTCTAGCTGGTGTGGTGGCGCACACCTTTAGTCCCAGCACTTGGGAGGCAGAGGCAGGTGAATCTCTGTGAGTTCAAAGCCAGTCAGGGCTACAGAGTGAGACCTTTGTCTTAAAAACAAAAAACAAAAAAACAGCTGGGGATGTAGTTCAGTGGTGGAATGCTTGCCCAGCATGTGTAAGGTCCTGAATTCAAACCTGAGCAGGCAGGGAGGGTTGATGAAGTGGTAAGAGCAAATGTGAGTGGCTCTGACTCCTGGTAATATATGGCTATATTAAAGAACAGGGAAATGAGCGGAGGTGGCAGGTGGGGCAGGGCACATGGGATCTGGGATAATTTTTTCCTTTATTTTATGTGAATGAGTTTTTGCCTGGATATATGTCTTTGCACATGTGTGTATGTACCCAAGGAGGTTAGAAGGGGTCATCAGATTCTTTGGGACTAGAGTTACAGATGGTTGTGAGAAGCCTTGTGGGTGCTGGAAACCTAACACAGGCCCTCTAGCAGGACAGCAAGTGCTCTTAATCACTGAGACATCTATCCAGCTCCAATACCTAGACTCTTAACCCCTTTAGAGCCCTGATTTCAACTACCTTGAGGGATAAAAAAGTTTATTCTTCTCTGTAACTAGAGCAGGCAGTTCAGGGTCAGGCTTACTTGATTTGAGGACCCAACTATGTTTTTGAGGAACTAGGTTCTTTCCGCCTCGTTCAGTGGCCACCATTGGCATGGTACCAACTTTGGGCTGATGTCAACATCCCATCAGCTATTCCAAGCATCACATACAGACTTGATGAGAAGAGGAAAGTATTCTGTTCCTACAAACTCTAAAGCAATGTTTCTCAACTTGTGGGTCACCACTCCTTCTAGGGGCTGGAGTAATCCTTTCACAGGGGTCTCCTAAGACCATCAGAAAACACAGATACGTAACAGTAGCAAAATTACAGTAATGAAGTAGCAGCGAAAATAATTTTATAGTTGGGGGTCGCCACAACATGAGGGGCTGTGTTAAAGGGTCACAGCGTTAGGAAGGTTGAGAAGCACTGCTCTAAAGGATAAGGAACCTTCCAGAAGTCTCCCAGGAAACTTCTCACACCTACTTACAGATCTCAGTCTCTTGCTTGTATCTGAATCTTCACTAGCAGTAACTAGAAAGTGGAAGCGCCCATGCGTGTGCAGGAGGAGACACAGCTGGAAGAGGAGGGGGGTGTGGTAGCACAGATGCAGGGTGGGAACGCAGAAGTCACTGAAGGCAAGAGCCAGGGCACTGGGCTGTGGGAAGGGCCCTCAGGACAGGTGTGCGGTTTCTTCAGCTCATGCAAGTGCCTGAGAGAAGCTGGGAGATTGGGGTTCTCTAGGCAACCGAACTGAGGAGGATCAAAAGCCACCAGGGTGTTGGCTGCTGAGCAACTGCACTGCTAGACCCTGAGTGCTGGACGGGGACAGAAAGCAAAGACTGGGCGGCAGGCAGGACAGACCGTGGAGAAAGTGGACTTCTGCTCCTGCCGAGATTCCAGAATTATCGGGGTGGGGTTGTAGGTGGGTTCCCCAGGAAGTACCTCTGGGAATTAATGAGCATATGAAAGGAGTGAAGAAACAGGCCTTGGTGGAGAAGCAGCAAACCCACATTGTAGCCAGTCCCACACAGTGCTGTGGAGCCAGGATAGTGCATTTGAGCATCCGGCATACAGGTGAGAATGCATTTGGCTTTTGCTCCTGGCCACTCCTATAGAAATATTGGTCAGGGTTGACTAGGCCCGAAGGGAGGGTGGCCTGGCCTGTGTAAGGTGGTGTTTAGGAACTGGCTTTGGATGCCAGTGAGTCAAGGATGGGGTACAAGCATGGCAGTTGTAACCTGAGAAGCTGCCTCCATTTGACCGTGCTCCCAAATGGGAGTACCGAGGAGCAAAAGGGGTGGATAAAAATTCACCTTCTTCACCGTCTGAATGGGGGTCAGGTCCTGGGTGGGGACCCATAACACGGTATGATAGAAAAGGAGGCATAAGACTCCTAAATATAGGGAATTGAGATCATTGTTCTGACACAAAGAGCCTGGACTCTGCCCATTGCACCCCTTCACACACACACACACACACACACACACACACACACACACACACACACACACACTGATACCCAGAGCAGTGGTGAGCTTTGGGACTTTTGGCCTGGAGATGCTGGGGTGCAAGGGAAAGACACTATTGCCTGGGTAGAAGCAGTTTCCTGAGCCATGCTGTGAAATGACACCATAGTTTTGTCAGAGGCCAGGTCCCCTTAAATCCTGACAGGACTCACACCATCCTGGTCACCCAACTTGCTTTTTCAGGCCTGGTGCCCTAATTGCACATCCTTCTGAGGTTTGGGCCTGAGCTCACTGTGCTCCATTCTGGTAAACCTCTAGAGGGTTTTCACCTAGGGCAAATTCTCACCTTCCCATTGAGAGAATCTCCAAAGATAAATTAGCATTGTCCCTCAGACTACAGCTAAGTCTTTTTTTTCCCTCAAGACCGGTTTTCTCTGTGTAACAGCTCTGGCTGTACTGGACTCACTCTGTAGGCCAGGCTGGCCTCAAACTCACAGAGATCCTCCTGCCTCTGCCTCCCGAGTGCTGGGATTAAAGGCGCCACCACACCCAACTCAGTCTATCTTTACAAAATTTTAAATATGGGGGGGGGGGTTGGAGAGGGGGTGTTGCCTGCTTGTATGTCTAAGCTCCCTGTGCGTGTCTGGTGTCTGTGGAGGCCAGAAGAGGGCATCAGATCCCGCCTCCCTAGAACTGGAGTTAGACAGTTGTGAGCTGCATTGTGGATGCTGGGAATCCAATCCAGATCTTGAGGAAGAGCTGGCACTCTAGACCCCTGAACAGGCTACCTTTGAAGTTGACTTCTGGGTAGCAGAAGTATCTGGAGGGCTTTCCTATCCCTAATCCTAATGCACAGGGGCTTTGGTGAGCATTCGGGCTCAGCTTATCAGAGAAAGCGAGGCCCTGAGGATCCAGCCCCGCTCTAGGACACTGTGGGCTCCTGAAGAAGAGCACTATCAGTGTGTCACTTCTGTCTCTCCCCGCCTCCAGGTGACAGCCTTTTGCTGGTGAAGAATCCAACCCCAGCTTCTGCGCAGCCCCAACCCCAGCCTCACCAGCAGAGCCTGCCCGCCTTGGCGGTGCCGGAGAACCCTGGAGGCCCCGGGAGCCGCAGCCTGCTGGAGGACGGCTTCCCCGCGCTTCCCGGGGAGCGCAGTACAGGAGGCGAGACTCAGCCCAGCGGGGAAGGCAGCGCGGGAGGTGGTGGCGGCGGCGGTGGCGGCAGCGGCGGCGGCGGCGGCGGCACTGGTGCGGGTAGTGGCAGCGGTACGGGTGCAAGTGCGGGCAATGGCTGCGGCAGCTGCTGCCCGGGAGGCCTGCGGCGGAGCCTCCTGGCTCACGGCGCGCGCAGCAAGCCCTACTCTTGCCTGGAGTGTGGCAAGACCTTCGGCGTGCGCAAGAGCCTCATCATCCACCACCGCAGCCACACCAAGGAACGGCCCTACGAGTGCGCCGAGTGCGAGAAGAGCTTCAACTGCCACTCCGGCCTCATCCGCCACCAGATGACACACCGTGGCGAGCGGCCCTACAAATGCTCCGAGTGCGAGAAGACCTACAGCCGCAAGGAGCACCTGCAGAACCACCAGCGGCTGCACACGGGTGAGCGGCCCTTCCAGTGCGCGCTCTGTGGCAAGAGCTTCATCCGCAAGCAGAACCTGCTAAAGCACCAGCGCATCCACACGGGCGAGCGGCCCTACACGTGTGGCGAGTGTGGCAAGAGCTTCCGCTACAAGGAGTCACTCAAGGACCACCTGCGCGTGCACAACGGCCCTGGCCTGGGGGCCCCGCGGCCGCTCCAGGTGCCGCCAGAGCGAGACTAGGGTTGGGCTGGAGGGCGGGGAGGACCGGACTGAAGTTGGGGCGGGCCAGGGTTCCTGAGGACCAACCCTCCTGCCCCACGGTTCTCAGCGCACCTCCCCGCCCTCTCCCCACCTCCTGCTGGAAATCGGCACAGGAATTGCACTCCAGACAGGGTATTCCAAAGGGTGGACCGGGGTACCCCAGTACTGTCCAACCCTCGTGGACAGTCCAGCTCATCTCATAGGGTGGACCCAGTGGCCAGGGAAGGTTCCAGAGGGACAGCAAGGCGGTAGGAATCGTTTGGACACGCCTCGAACTTCCTAGTGTGTCCACTGGCCGCTGGGGCCACAGATTCTGATCAGGGAAAGTGACCAGGGAGTCTCAAAACCCTTCTGAAATAAGGAAATACGATCCATCCTAAGGTGAGGAGACGCCCTGAAAAAGAAAGAAAGATGCAATGGGAAACTGAGGGGTGCGCTAAGGGTGACATTCTCATGACAACACTGCCTCGCGCTCTAACAGCGCTTTGTACTTTTTTAAAAAGTGTTTTCTATCCGTTATCTATTTACACCCTTAGCTTATCCCTTCGAGATAGGTGGGGTAGGATATTCCCGATGTGGTAAGTGAGGAAAGTGAGACCCAGTGAGATAGTTGTTGAGCAAGACCACATGAGAACAGTGTGGCCGAGCCGCACCGGGCTCTAGCCCAGTGCCGTGTCCCCAGCGCACACACTGCCTACCTCTGTCGGTCTCAGACCGCTCTCACCTGGCCTTCCTGGTCTCTTTCCTCTCTCCCTTCCCTCCTCGGATCCCCCAAATTCTCTCAGAAGCAACAGGGGCCAGCTCCTGGGGTTACTGGGAATGGGGAACTGATTGGCTATAAAATGTCTAGGCTTGTTCTTGGGAAGGCCCTTTCTTCCTTGACGCGAGCCTGGGCCCCCAGCCTGTCTTTCCCAATTCTGATCATTCAGTCAGGTGCAGCAGCAGCTTTTCACTGCACAGTTAAGGCCAGGCCCTCCAGAGGCAGCTGGTGCCCTGGGTCAGACCTCACCCTGATGATTTACTCCAGCTTCCCAGGGCACAGGGTGAGGAAAGACCGGCTGCCAGAGTAGCCACCAAGGAATAAGACTCTGCCCAAGAGGGCTGGGCAAGTGGGTGCTAGAGCCTGAGCTCTCTCCTGCCCTGGGCATCCCAGTTGGTGCTATCTGTTAACTGATTGTGCTCATGGACATGGACACAGACCTACTATGCTCTGACCCTGCAGGCGCCTTGGGAAGCGCCCAAAGGACTCCTTTTCATGTTGGTGCATCGCTCCATGGCTCCCAGCACCGCAGCCGCCGGGGGCCAGTCTCCATTTCAGCATCTTGCATGGCCAGGCACTGGGGTGGGGTGGCGTGCCCCAGGACCCTTGTTTGTGTCAAAAATGGCTTTCCTGCTCCTCTTGTGGATCCTGTTTCTCTCCCAGCTAGGGAGCGTGGCGGGTGCCAGCATTTCATGGCACCACCTTTGTGAGCGCTCTGCTTCTGTCCTTCTGCTCATCTGCGCTGCTCCGCTTTCCTCAGACCCCTTTTTGCCGTGCAAAGGGAATTCTTGAAATTAAATAAAAGGTATCCAGATTGCAGACTGCATGTTCCCAACGCTGGGGGGTCCTCCAGCATGGCATCCTACAGCAGACCTCAATGAACTGCAACCCAATAAGCTGGGATTTCTTCACTAAGCTTTTTGGAGGAGGCTGATCTTAGGAAAACAAGTTATCTTGAAATATGTGCAAGGGAGGGTTCAGTGGAGTTCTGGTAGAGTAGGAGGGGACCCTCCAGTTCAGGGATTGTTTTGGAGGGGACAATATACTACTTTTCAGAAGCATTCAAAGACAATAATTCATAATCTAAATCACGGAAAGTAAGATGCAAATTATTTTTGACAGCTGGAAGTGTGTGGGGGACTGGTAATAGTTACTGAGACATAAGTTTAAAACATTTAACACATAGTTTGAGTTTAGTTCATCTTACCCCTAAGAAGCTGATTCCCAAAGAGGTATGTTGATGGAGCTATTGACAGCCAAGGCTCTGGAGCCCAGTTTGGTGGGTCCTACCACCCTCCACTACACTCTGAATGGCTTTTGTTAGCATGGCCCCCTTCCAGATGTGGGTGCTAGGAACCAAATCCAGGTCTTCTGCAAGAATAGCAAGAACCCATCTCTCCAGCCCCAGGTGTGTGTGTGTGTGTGTGTGTGTGTGTGTGTGTGTGTGTGTGTGTGTACTTGAAGTCTCAAATAGTGAAAAGTGGGGGGAGAGACCCAGAAAGATGAAAACATCCAGTGCTCAGAGCTGCTTCTAGATCCTTCTGAAGCTGTGTTCATTGTCCAGACAGCTGACTCCTGGTTTGCAGCATTTCTCCGCACTGCCACCACTCTGGGTACAGAGCCTTGCAAAGGCTGCTTCTCAAAAGTAGAGACAAGGAGGGCATCTGGGGAGCCATGAAAGTAGTATTCACTCCGACAGACCAAAGATGGATTCCAGCCAGTGCAGTTGGTGAGTGGGTTTACTAAGAGCAATTACAGAAGCATGGACAGCTCAGGCAGCTGCACCCCTGAAGGGTTCCACCCCAGTCCATTTTCTACCTCTTACACACATGAGCATGTCTAAGATTATATACAACTGGGCAGGGGGAGGGCTGACCAAATCCTCTGGTGAGGTCAGCTGTGACGCTTCCCTCTTTCCACAAGGGATCGTAACAGCCTCACTGCCATTATAGACCCAGTGGCTGTACTGTTCGTTTTACTGAGACTGTGGACCAAGGTCTCCTGTAGGCTACCCCAGCAGCTCTGCTTCACGGTGGTGATGGTCATGTCTACCTTCCAGAGAACTGTGTGACACTGGTCAGGGCCTGAGTCCCTTACCTCTTTTGTTTGTTTGTTTGTTATTTTTGTTTTATTTTCTTTTTTGAGATAGGATCTCTTTGTGTAGGCTTGGCTATCCTGGAACTTGATCTGTAGACCAGGCTAGCCTCAAATACAAAGATCCATCTGCTTCTGTCTCCTGAGTGCTGGGATTAAAGGTGTCCACCCTGTGGAACTTTTTTTTTTTTTTTTTAAGAACAGTGTCTTATTATGCAGCGCTGCCTGGCCTAGAACTTGCTCTGTAGACCAGACTGACCTGGAACTCACTGAGATTTGCATGCCTCTGTCTCTTGAGTGCTGGAATTAAAGGCATGCACCACCAAGCTTGACCTGGTCCCTTAACATTTTGTGATTTGTGTCATTCTATAGAAAAAGTGTTTAGAGGATAAGACTGATGACAGATGGACCTTGATCATTATTCAACACTTAGTGACTATGTGTAAGACCCAATTCTTGTCAAGTTTGAGATGTGATAGGAGAGAAGACATTTGTGAGAATGAAACCATGTGGCTGCATGTAGGCTAGATGAAGAAACACACACTTGATTTCCCTTAGGGCTTGCCACAGTGGCATGATACAGAAAGGCTGGAGAACACTGGTCTAGAGAAGCCAGTGAGCAAGCACCAATGCCCACAGTGCCTACCTGTGGGTTCCTGGATCACATTCCAGTGGCTTTCACTGTACTGGTGCCCTCAGCCACAGCATGAGTGGTCCCAGTCCTTGAGACAAGCCCCAGGACAATAAGCTCTACTTCAGAACTGACCAAAGGCAGTGACTTTCAGTATGCTGGCCTGTGCATATCAATCACTGAATCACCCATGTCAGTATTGGGGGATGGTTTGCATGTGGCTGGAGTTAGGAGGCTGCATGAAGCGGCAGGTGCGGCTGCCTGGAGAAGTCAGGCTGCAGGCATGAGCTGCATGGGGCAAACGGAGAGGAAGGCAGGGAGGAGGGACTGTAAGGAAGAAGGAGATCGGTGTGGCCAGAGCAGAGAGGTACGGACGTGCAGGATACACGGTTAGATGGTGAGGCACAGTCCAGGCCACGGAAGACCTTGAATACTCAAACTGTCCCACAGACGACCATCAGCGAGCCGGGGATCCACTGTGGTGTAGCCCTGTAGAACCTGTTAGAAGCGGGGCAGGCACAGCTGTCAGAGGAGGTCAGGAAGGGTTCGATGGAAGTCCTGAGAAGGTGGCATAAGCCAGAGACCACTGAAAGTGACAAAAAAAACAGGTAAATGTCTTTTTAAAATTTAAACGGATTTTTCCATTTCTGAGCAAATACCTTTTGTGTGCGGATGCTCTCGTGTACTTGAGCAGAGGTTGTTAGGTCCTGTTCTTTCATTCTCTGCCTATTCCCTCGAGAGAGGGTCTCTCACTGGACCTGAAGCTAAGCTGGCAGCCAACAGCCCTAGTGCTGCTTCTGCTGCCCCACTCCACACACACACACACATACACACACACACACACACACACACACACACACACACACACACACACACACACAGCACACTGGGGCTACAAGTATACTTGGCTTTTTCTGTGGTACTGAGGTTTTGAATTCAGGTCCTCCTACCTGCACAGCAAGTGCCCTTCCCTAACCGCCCCCCCCCCCCCCCCCCCCCCGCCCACCACTCCCTCCCCTTCTTTTTTTAGTGGGGTAGGTGATGCTGAATTTTGAACCCAGGGCTTCCTAAATGTTAGGTAAGCACTTTCCCACTGTATTTCTTCCAAGCCTTTTCTTCCTTTCTTTTTTCTTTTTCTTTCCGAAATGGTCTCATGTAGTTCAGAGTGTCCTGCAATGTCCTATGTGGCCAAGGATAACCTTTAATTTCTGATCTTCCTGCCTCTACCCTCTGAGTGCTGGGATTGTAGGCGTGTACCACCACACACGCTTTATATATTGCTGAGTCTGAACCTGTAGCTTTGTGTGTGCTAGGCAAACACTATCAACTAAGCTATATCATCAACTCCAAACACTATCTTAGGATCAAGGATTCTAGTGTCCTAAGTGTCTTTTTGAGATCTGACCCCTGGGTTTTGGACATTGGTAGGGAGTAAGGGAAAAATGGGGGCGGGGATCACACGGGCCCTGCAGGGCAAACTGGGCCCAGGGCTGGTCTCCCCTCTGGCTCTGCACTGATTTCCCCCATAAGACACTTAAGTGTAGTAGATTTTGTACTTTATAAGTCAGAGACGGTGCCTCCTTACAGCACAGCATAGCAAAAGACCTGAAATTATACCTAACCCCCCTCAGCCCTCTCTGTTCTTTTGTTGTTGTTTATTTGTGACAGGGTCTCACTATGTAGTTCTGGCTGTCCTGGAACTCACTATGCAGACCAGGCTAGCCTCGAACTCACAGAGATCCTCCTGCTACCACGTCCCAAGCATTGATATTAAAGGTGTGTGCCACTACGCCCGGCTTCTGTCTCTGTTCTTAAAAGACTGTGAAGCATTCTCATCACCAGAAATGTCTCAGAGCCCACCATCCTGATCTTTCTCTGTTCTGTATTCCCTCATCTCACTAAGGAGCAGCTTTCTTCTATCTGGAGGCTTCCTCAGCCCTCCTCTCCAGGATATACTTGGGAACCCCCAAATCTTAATCTTTTTATGCTACAATTTTGTTCCGTCTTTGCTCGCCTCTGTCTTCCAAGCCACTTCCTGTGGCCTCCTTTCCCACAATTCAAATGGCCAATAAAAAGCTGGTTAAACAAAATATTAGTTGCTCTTTAAGAAAAATTGTGTATCATTTTTTTCCCAAACCATCAATCAATGAATGGAATTTTGAAGATTTTATATTAATATATTTAAAATAAAAAATGTAAAAAGGGGATATGCAGAAAAAAGTCTAGCAGGGCATGGTGGCCACAACTGTAGTCCCAGCTACTATGGAAGCTAAGACAAAACAAAATCTTGTCATACACATATCTGGCTCCCCTGTGAGGAAGCATCCAAGTTATGAGTTCTAGAAAATACTGCCTCTAATGTTAATTTTGTAGAAATGGCACTTGGTTCTTCATGTCATATCCTTCCTTTTGTCAGGTGTCTGAGAAATTATTGGGATGGGTACATAGGAAATGTCTTCCTTTTTGAGGTTGCTCTTTTTAAAATCAGGACCAAACCATATAGCTCTAGTTGTCCTGGAACTCGCTGTATAGACCAGGCTGGTATAAACTCAGAGACCTGGGTCCCTCTGCCTCCCAGTGTTAAAAGTAGGCTGCTGCCATGCCCAGCTGAGCAGCTGCATGTTTTACATGAGTGGGTGGACCTGATTTATTATTACTATTATTATTTTACCAAATCTCTGTTGATTACCGTGTGGTTTTTATTGGGGGTGTTTTTGTTTGCTTGTTTATGTGTTTGCTTGCTTGCTTCCGACACAAGGCCTTGCTGTAAACTTACTGTGTAACTGAGGATGGCCTGTTTCTGCCTACCATGTGCTGGGGTCATGGAAGTGACCAAGCCTATTTTTTTTAATTTATTATTATTTGAGGGTGTTCTGTTGTACTCTGTGGAGGTCAGGGGACAACCTTGTGGAGTCAGTTCTCTCCTTCCACCTTTACCTGGGTTTCAGGAAGGAACTCGGGTGGCCGAGCTTGTCTGGTAAGTGCCTTGGCCCACAGAGCTGTCCCACCAACCCCACAGGCCTGCTTTAAAAGAAGCGTTTCTTTCTCCACACTGCACCTATGAGAACAACACCGACAGGTCGCCGTTCTTGCAATGTCCTCGCTGCTCTGTCCTTTATTGCCCACAGTTCCCTCTCTGCTGTGCCAGGCCTGTATCTTCAGCATGACCAGACCAGACCCCATTTATTTCCAGCCATGCTCTTAGGAGGTCCTGGGCCAGGGAAATTAGGCTCAAGTCTTGTTCTTTCAAACTCCAGCTCTGCCTCTACTGCCTCAATACAGAATGCCCCATCACTCCAGGCTATATCCTTTTCTGACTTTGAGCAGAGCTTTTTAGAAATATCTCCAGGTCCTAGAAACTGCCTGAGAAAAGCACAAGGACAGGGCAGAGGGCCTTCTGAGCCTTTACATTTGGTTTGATCATGGAAGACTATAATACTTTTTTAAAGGTGCAGTGTGTAGCCCAAGTTGACGACCAACTCAATATCTTGCTTTAAGCCAGGCATGGTGATGTAGGCACGTATCCTAGTACTGAGGGAGCTGAGGCAGAAGGATGACTGAGATCGAGCCTGTCCTAGGCTCAAAACAGGGAAGAAAAATCTTGCCTCAACACCTTGCCCTCATCCCTGCTGGCATTACAGTATATCCACACCACCATGCCCAGCTTCGTGTAATACTTCTTTTAAACAATTGGAGACAAAGTGTCCGGTATCCCAGTGTCATAGAGCACTGCTCTCCAAGTGGAACAGCCATCATCATCAGAACAGCTGGGACTGCTTGCAAGAAACCAGATCTGGCATGCTGACTATTGACATTCCCTCAGAAGAGAGTAGGGAGGATGTGAGGTCCCAGCAGCTCCCTCCTGCACCTCCCAGCCACTTGAATGCAATTCTCCTCTAACTGCACGTGGCCTCCGTTCTCAGGAGGGGCTGGAGCACCTAAGAGTGTAGGCTGACTGATGGGAGATTCCATCTCTGCAGCTCTAAGGAAACTGCTGTCCATGGTGAAGGGTGACTTCCCAGTGGTGCAGCTGTTTTAGGGTCACTCACATTCCTGTAGATAACCCCTCACCCATGCTCTGTAAATAAGTTCAATAAATGCATTGGTTCCCCAAGCTGGAATCCCACGTTGATTTGTTGTCTGTAGGTGTTTGTTTGCTTCAGCTCAGGGAAAGAGTTCCCAGCTTCCTATAGTCCTTAACTTAAAAAAAAAAAAAATGTGTGTATAGGTGTTTCACCTGCATATATGTCTGTGTACCACACATGTGCCTGGAGCCCACAGAAGCCAGAATAGAGCAGGTCCCCTGAAATGAGAATGACTGCTGTGAGCAACCATGCGGATGTCCCAGTCCCCCGGAAGAAGAGCCAGTGCTTTTAATTGCTGAACCATCTCTATAGTCCCCCATAATGCTTTCATCAGTGCAAATAGTTCTAATTGTGATCAACAGAAGCTGGCTGATGAACCAAGAATGAGAAACTTCTGGAAAGAATCTGGAATCATTCACAGACTCAGGTGCAGTTGAACCAACCCAGGATACAGGAAAAAAAAATCACCTCTTATCTCTGTTCCCTTCTCTGTGTTGGGTCTCTCTTCCAAACCAGCTTACTTACTCCAAAAAATGAGAGATCAGACTGTTTCGAACCTCTTCATCCCTGAAGAGGAAGAGCTTTACTTGGTTCAGTTCATGTCACAAGCCCACCCTGCCTCAAGGACTATTGCCTGGAGACTAGGATGCTATGATGGAGCTCAGCTAAGTCAGATGCTTGCCCTTCCATCACTGACCAGGCTGGCGATGCCACCGAACAAGATGGCAATAGTGACTTGCCCCGGTGGCAAAGGTCTGTAATCCCAACTACAGGAGGCTGACAGAGGAGAGCCCTAAATTCAAGGCCATCCTAAGCCAGTTGAGGTTTGCCAGTGCTATAGAATGAGTTCAAGGCCAGCCTAAGCAACATAATGATACTATGTCTCAAAAACAAACAGAATAGGGCGGTGGTGGCTCACAACTTTAATCTCAGCACTTGGGGGTAGAGGCAGGTGGATCTCTGAGTTCAAGGCCAGCCTGGTCTACAGAGTGAATTTCAGGACAGCCAGGGCTACACAGAGAAACCCTGTCTCAAAAAACCCCTAAAAAAAAAAACAAAAAGGGGAAAAAAGCTGGGATATAGCTCATATCAGGGGGCACTTTTAAAATATGTGAATGACCCTCATGTGAATGACTTTTAAAATATGTGAATGATTCCTAGTACTGAGGTCAGGGAAAGAAATAAAGGGGAAAAGAGAAAAAAAACAAGTGAACAAAACTTGAGAGGAGCCTTTCCTACAGGGAGGGAAGTTCTGTGCCAGGGGAAGAGAGGCATGCCAGGCTGATGATACAATGGGGCTCCTCAGCATACACACAGCAATGGAGGCACCTTGAGCCAAGGTATGCTCTGTCTAGTATTTTGTTTTGTTTTGTTTTGTTTTGTTTTTGTTTTTCAAGACAGGGTTTCTCTGTGTAGTTTTGGTGCCTGTCCTGGATCTCACTCTGTAGACCAGGCTGGCCTCGAACTCACAGAGATCGCCTGCCTCTGCCTCCTGAGTGCTAGGACTAAAGGCATGTATCATGACTGTACTGTTCAGTCACCCCTGTTAACCCGCTAGCTCTGTGTGTAGTGCTCATACTCTACAGACGTAGATGACACAGATCCTAACAAGTGCACACTCCTTATTTCTCTAATAGCAGCAGCACTGTTTGTAGTGACTGGAAGCCACATTGAAAGATTTTTCCAGAGGCATGTGTCAACATATGAGTGTCGTCAGCAGGAAGGGGCAAATGTAGTTTCTGAGAAAGACTCAACAAAGTGACATTTTTCTTGGTGAGTTCCTTGTAGTACAAGGCTTTGGTCTTGCAAATATGGAAGCAAAGGAGAAGCCAGAAATTTTGTTATTGAGTGCTTGCTCCATGCCAGGCACACAGCTTCCACAAACAGCCCACATGAATTGCCTTACATTCTCAGTGGGGAGCTAAAGGTAGCAAATACAGAGAGAGCACGAGCCACACCATCTAAATGTTTATTTATTTGTGTATTTGTGTGCCTGCATGAACATATGTGTACCACATGTATACAGAAGCCCTCTGAAGCCACAAGAGGGTGTCAGACCCCCTAGACTAGTTACAGGTGGTCGTGAGCCACCATGTGGGTGCTGGGAACTGAACTAGGTAGTTCTCCAGCCTTCGTGCCTTTAAAAAAATAATTAGATTTTTTGAGACTGGGTTTCATTATGTAGCTATGGCTGTCTGGAACTCAGAGATCCACCTGCCTCTGCCTCCCAAGTGTTGAGATTAAAGGTATGCAACACACACACACACACACACACACACACACACACACACACACACACAGATTTTAAAGAGATAAGATGAAAAGCAGAGAGAAGAGAATTAGGGGTTCAGAGACCTCAATTATATTTTTGGGGTGTTTTGGCATATATAGAATTGGAACAAAGGGCAAGAAAGCATGCATAATTAAGCAGAAGCATGCATAATTAGGCAGTCGTGGTTAATAGATGGTCTAGTTCATTGATGTCCCAGTTCTGGTTCTGCAAAGTGGTTAGAAGAAGTCCTTATCGCTGCCATTGAATTGCTTGAGAGGCTCCATCTGGCTCCTACAAGATGGTTACTTCTGCTGCAGGGTGCAGCTTCAGGGTGTAACTGCCCTTACCTGAGAGATGATCTGTTTTTCAACATTCCTCTTCCTGGGATTCAAAGTGACTACAGGCTTGGGACAATGACTTATGTCTGCACCTTTGGCTGAGGAAAGGGATGAGATGGGTCCAGCAGACACACTCCTTGGATGATTTACAGGCTTATGCAGAGTCAAGCAGGAATGATCCGAACCAAGTCAATAAACAAGATGAAGGCAGGGACACTGGGACTTGCCTTGTGAGCCTAAATGAGCCAGTGATTTTTAAAAAAAATATATAAATGGAGGCTTTAAGTGCTTGTGAAAACAGATGCTGAGAAATTTCTTTCAGCAGGTCGTGGAGGACGTTGTTAGCTGTAGTCAATGTAGACTGGGATTGAAAGGAAAAGTATGGGCTCAGGACCCCCAAGACCAAGTACTCAGCACAAAGGACAGTTATTTACTCCAGAGGGACAGGGGGACAGGAATAAGGAACAAAGACAGGAGACAGAGGACAAGGGAGAAGAGGAAGGGAGTAGGGAGAGGGGGCAGGGTGTCTGCCCCAGGGGGAGGACTGCCTCTGGACGGAGAGGAGACAGATGTGGCACATAGGAAAATGGCAGTTTATAAAGGTACAAAGGGAACCCCCATGTTAAGATGAGGTGTTTAATTTACATGTTAATTAGGTGAGCCAAAGGGGCTTTTGATTGCTGGACTTCAATACTCTGATAGCTGGACCTTGGCAGTCAGCCACAGGAGGAGGAAATGGCCAAATACAGGAATGAACCTTGGGGGCTAGCTTCAGGAATGTAATCTAACAGTTTTTAGCAAAGCAGAGGGAATCAGGGAGAAGGTCAAGGCCTGCCAGAGCCACATGCTCGAGTGGGCTAGTGTCCCTTCAGAGATCACTTGTAGAATCTGATCCCAGTCCTGAACATGAAGAAGGAACCAGTCTAGTGAGAGTAGATTAATTCTCAGAGGAAGCTATTCATGCCCATTGTTCAAAGTGGAAACTCCCATCCTTCTCATTCATCATCGATGGGACAGTGTGGTGGAAATGAGGCAAGTGTGACTGGTGTTGCTGGAACTGGTGTGGGGGGTTTGTTTGGAGTTAGTGTCTCTCTCGATATTTCTGACTAGCCTGAAACTCACTACAGAGCTGAGGCTGGCCTCAAACTCCTGAGTGCTGGGGTTAAAGGTGCCGATGATGATGCGGCCAGACGTTTCCAAACCGGAATGCTCTACATATTCACCATGGTACAAGGACTAGGTTAATTATTTGTGATTAAGGATACCTTGAATTCTGCAATGCCTCTGATTGCCATAATTATTATTCTACAGTAGATTGACCTGGGCATTTGAATCTGCGTTTCTAGTTTCTAAAAAGCCAAGTAACCGGTGAGCGTTTGGAATAAAATCACTGGCCTTTGAGAATTCATCTTTTTTTTTCAGCTTAGGCTGTGTTCTCCCCTCAGAGGAAAGTGAGTTTACTCATTTAATATTATAATATCATATGTATAAAATAAAAATATTATCTTTATTTTTGACAATTACGTTCATGTACAGAACGTATTGTGATCACACCCCCCCTTACCCTCTCTACTAGTCCCTCTCCTTCCCACGTGCCTTTTTTTTTTTTTTTGAACTTACACATATTTGAATCTCTTACAGCATTTCGCGGTGTGCAGGGGCTTACCTTAAACCCAGAAGATGCTCTTGATTTTGCGCTTATACCCCATACTCAATGGCTGGAGTGGCAAGCTGCAGTTCACCTTCCCGGAGCACTGTGGCGCAGTAGCAAGGCCGCGCGGCGGGAGGAGCGGGGGCAGCTCTTCTTGGCACGGGGAGGGGGCACGTTCCCAGAATGCACCTTGTATCAACACCGCGGCGGTGGCGGCTCCCCGAAGTCCAGGCGGTTGGCGGAGTGGCACCCGGCCCGAGCACTCTCCCGCCAGTCGGTGTTGTGGGGCGACTGCGGCCATGGCGGAGTCGGCGCCTGCTCGGGTAGGGCGCGCCGGCCGGCGGGGAGGGCGTCGGGGGAGACAGCGGCCTGCCCGGGGCGGGGCTTGAGCGGCTCGGTCGCGGGCTCGGTTTCCTCCGCGGCCGTTGGCGCCGGCGGATGCCGACCTTCCGCCCGGCTACCCTCGCTCCCCTCCGCCCGCTCGCTCGCCCTCCGGGTCCTTGTGCGTCGGGCTCCGAGCTGGGCTCTCTGCGTCTCCGCGGAGAAACTTGGGCGAAGCTTGTTGAATTGTTTGTGGTTGTGCCCACCTAGGTCCAGCTTCGTGCCCGCTGAGGGACTCGTTTTCTGAGTTGGAGTGATGGCGCGGGTTAAAACCCTGGTTCCGCTCGTTGCTTTTGAGCTCAGCTGCGGGAGACCGCAGGACTTCGGGCTGCTCTCCGACCAGTGGGTTTTGGTCCGGGTGCCATGTTCTGCCGTAGATTTTTCTGTACTGAGTTTGCAGCTACAGGTTGAGCCAGGCGGGGCCTCCTCTCCTTGGGGACGGGTGTGTTTTCAGAGCTGTAGGTGCGCACTATTATCTGCTTTCCTCCCCTTCCAGCTGTCTCTATTCAGGGAGTGTGAAGACACTGAAAATGATTTGAGGGCGGTCTCAGCGCTCACCTCTTTCGGCAGCCTGTGCGCACCTCTCTAGGCCTTTGTCTCCTTCACTTGAATTGAGAATGTTGGGTTCGTGATTAAAGAAATTTCTGAATTTTTTTTTTCTGGCTCTTTTTTTTCCATACTCTGTCACAGTAGCGGTTAACTTAAGAAAAGGGTAGGACAGATGGAACTTAACTGGCGTCTTGTCGTTGAGACAGGGCCTCACTCTGCCTCCAGCCGGTGACAATCTTCCCTACTTACTCTCCTCAGTGCTAGGATTACGGGTGTGAACCATTGTGCTCGGTTTTGATTGGTGGTGGTTTGTTTTGAGGCACAGTGTCACGTGCCTCAGCCTAGCCTATCTGAGGATGGCCTTAAACTCCTACCTCAGACCCCCAAGTGTAGATTAGAAGCATAAGCCTTTTTCTTGTCTAGCTTTTTTTTTTTTTTTTTTTTATGTTTTAAAATGAGGTCTTGACATGTAGTTGGCTGCCTGGGACTAGCTATGTAGACCAGGCTAGCTTCCCAAGTGCTAGTTAGAGACTAGGAGGTAGACTCCCTGCTAGGCAAACAGAGGGGCGACGGCTAGGTAATAAAGATGGCAAATTTCCAAGATGGACGTCCTCTTCCTCACCTTCCCAACTTGAGACAAGACTGGCAGCCTACACCAAAGGCCTTTGGAGGCTTGTCTCCCACCAGGAGGTCCCCTGCTGACGGTCTGGATCAACAAGTTCAAGGCCTGATCAGACCGTGTTGCACGACAATTATGGGCCAATCAGTCATCTTCAAATGGAAGGACACTAAATTAGGGGAGGGAAACTCTTCAGAGGCTTTAAAACCCCCAGCCTCAGAAAAGTCCCAGTAGCTTCCTGAGTTTCCCTTCCGCTTTGCAGGCGGTCCTTTCTCTGTGTCTGCTGTTCACGTGTTTCCTCACCCCCAATGAACACTTTTGATCAACTGCGGATTCTGTCAGTAGTGCTTGAGATTTCTCTTGCCTTTTAGTTCTTTAACTGGCGGAGAGGACAAACCCCTTCCAGACCCCTAGGCTGTCTCATCTCCAGACTCCTAGATAGTGTTAGTACGATCACCCTTGCGCACTTTGGCATTTGAATTGAGTTTTACTGCAGCTTTTTGGGTTCAGAAACACTTTGGGAATCCTGAGATATCTTTTTGTGAAAGAAAAAAAGAGGTCAAAGAAAAATTGTGTTGAGAACTTTGCCTTGGCTGGAATTGACTATGGTTTTTCTAGGAAATGGGTAAGAACAATTTAGGAATGGACTGAAGGATTTATTAGTGTTTATTTTCAAGGAATTAACACTGAACTGGGAAAAGAGGACACTGTGTTTACAGCATTTCTGCATCTGGTGTTTCTCTAGACTGGATTGAACTAGCATGAGGTGGGAGGACCAGCAGACTCCTTTTCTGGTCATTCCACCCTTAGTTATGCGTCACCGGCAGACCTCATTGAGACGGTAAAGGTCCACTAAAATCTCAAACTCAACTTGAACTTACAGTTTTGACATTGTAGAATTTATTTAAACTGTTCTTGAACATATTTGTATTCTCACATATCTCTTCAGGTGAGGATTCTGTACTGCTAAGCCAAATTCATGTCTTGATAATGACAACCAAAATTAAAAAATGCTGAGGGAGAAAACCCTATGTAAATGAGATGTATAGTAAATCAGAAGCCCATTATTTTGTATGATAATTTAAAAACAGCATAACAAATGATACTTACAACCCAAAAGTAGGCAGTGTGAACTCTTAAAAGATGAGCCGAATTGTGAAGCCAACTGTGAGAGCATTTGCTGAACAATTGTGTTTGATATTTATGAAATCAAGGGACCTTGGAAAAAAGAAAAACTAAAGATGGGACTTGAAGGCAACACTAGGTCAAAGAGTAAACTTTTTTTTTTTAAGTCAGGGTTTCACAATGTAGGGAGCGATGGCTGTCTAGGAACTTGGTATGTAGACCAGGCTGGCCTTGAACTCACAGAGAACCCTTGGCTCTGCCGCCCAAGTTCTCAAATTAAATGCCTGGCTGAATAAGACAGTAACTTGTCATGGAGTTAATGAGAAATAATTAAGCTATATGACAACATTGATGTAAAAGTTAGGAAGAAGTGATGAGAAGTCAGTGGTCTCTGTAAATATGCTTTTCATAATTGCTAAAAGACTAAAAAGTCAGTCACAATAAATTTAATTGAATTAAAAGGCAAAGATTATGAGGATGGGAAAAATCCAACCTTCATTTTGGAAAAATCCAAAAGAAAAGTCTATACAAATGGTTAAATATAAAAGGGTATGAGAACAATTTATCAGAATAACAGTAATTAAAAGAAACTTGGCTTAGAAGTGAATCATTGCCAGAGATCGAAAATACTCCTGTGCTAATATGGAAAAGGATTCAATTTTCTATCTTGAAATGACATCTTTAAACTAGTTTGAGGCTAATTACATAGCTTCGGATATATTTAAAAATTGACAGACAAATTTCATCATCATTTAGAATATTCAAATATAATCTAGTATTTTATCTAGCAGAAAAAAATAGTAAGGATGTTGTACATCCAGCAGAACTCTTGCAGAGGATGGGGATACGCTGCTCTGTTCACTGCAGTAGTCTAGATGCAGGGGCTGTCAAGCCTTGAAGTACAGCTAGTGTGACTGACAAAATGAGCATTACATTCTTTTAGTTTAGCTCATCCTGATGGCTCTGCCCTTAATGCCAGCACTTGGGAGGCAGAAGCAGCTAGATCTCTGAGTTCTAGGCCAACCTGGTCTGTATTACGTGTTCCAGGCCAGCCAGAGCTATATAGAAACTTGTCTCAGAAAAGGGAAATCCTTCCCCAAAATAGAAATAGATAGAGAGCTGGGGAAAGGTGTGTGTTCAAAAGCCATTATTAATATTTGTTTAGTTTTTATTTATTTCTATTTATTTACTTGTTTATTGTTATTCAAGACAAGCTTTCTCTGTGTAACAGCGCTGGCTGTCCTGGATCTCGCTCTGTAGACCAAGCTGGCCTCAAACTCACAGAGATCCACCTGCCTCTGTCTCCCGAGTGCTGGGATTAAAGGTGTGTGCCACCACTGCCTCACTATTTTATCCATTTTCTATCAGCATATAACATCTCTATATAATGATACAGTATAGATAAAAGAAAGAAGGGAGGGAGGGATGGCCTGGAAAGATGGCTCCATGGATTAGAGCACTTGATACTCTTTTTTTTTTTAATGAATATCATGAGTATAATTAATATCTTGAATGTAGTTCATGCCACTGAATTATGAACTTAAAAATGATTACAATTGCAAAAAAAAAAAAAAAACTAAAACAAAACAAAGAGGCCTTTGTGAAGGGCTGGTGGTCAGCCCTGGGATGAGTCACCCCCAGAAGCATGGCTCCCAGAAGGCTGCTGGGATCTCATCAGTGAAGGTCCAGGTTGGGACCCAGCCAGCAGTTGGAGTGGCTCCAGAGGCATCAGCAAACTTTAGCAGACCTCTCTGGTCCAGTGTTCCTGGAGATGCTGACAGCAGCAGGGTTCTCATTGGAAACAGTAGCTGCTCGCCACAGCCTCTGCTAGGTCCTCTTCAGATTTATTCTGTCGACACCGTCAGTCTTCCTTTTGGAGATGAACTGCTCCATCTGGAAGTGTAGGCTGGTGCCACCTAGCACTTGATACTCTTGCAGAGGACTGAAGTTCAGTTCCCAGCACCCATATCGTGGCTCCAAACCATCTGTAGCTCTAGTTCCAGAGAATCTGATGTCCTCTTCTGGCCTTCACCGGTACAGGCATACGTGTGGTACTCAAAAATGTACATGCAGGCCAAACATTCATAGAATAAAAAATACAAAGAAAAAAGGAAAAGACACATCAGAAATGGAAGTGTGTTCACACAGGTCTGGGTTGGTATTGGATGTGACTTAGACTTTGGGTCGGGCTGTTGAATAGTTGGGGTCCCTCTGCCTTCTGCATGCACGTGGGCTTCTTCACATACCTGCTTGCCTGTGTCTGCCCCACTGACACAGAGTGGAGCACAGACTCGAGGCTTTCTCCACTTTGACTTCAGATTTGTGAGCAAAGTAGATGTTGTCTTTAAGTCACTAAATTTTGAGATGGCTTGATACATAGCAAGAGTTGTCTGGAATAGAAAGCAAGGGAATATATTAAAATATCGAACATGCTTTAAAATTCCTTCAAATGCAA